ATCAAAACCACAAAAATGTTTAGTAGCTTATAACTAGTTATACATTTTGTACCACAAGAAGACCGATTAGCAATCGTTAACAAAATAATAGGTGGGAACTTGATCTTAATCCGTGACCAAGAAAGAAATATCAAAATAGAGCAGACAAAATATCTCCTGATAGCAAATGGTTTCAAATCAACTGCCATAACATATCGGTTTAAATAAAACAAGTAATTAATATAACAATCCCTTCAACCCCTCCCCAACACAGTGCAATATCGCCCACGTTCATTAAAACACGACATATAATAAGTAGATACATAAATTAGTGTCTAATTTAGGGAAGGAACATTCTATTTCGTATAGTGGGTTGTGAGTAGGCGATATTACATTGTTTTCGTATAATTTCGAAAGATCTCGGGTAAGGAGTACTTTATGTGTATTTTACCTGTGGGTCTTTGGAAGTCTTTGGTACATTAGGGAAATATATAGATGCCAAAGTAGAGTTTTGCTCAATCTCGTGGAGGAATAGTTTAATTAATTTTGTAAGTAAATCGTACAACAAAAATTAGCCTTCTCTTCCTCCTTCCTTCTAAAAATTCAATGCATTACAAAGTTATTATGTATTCACTTTTGAAAAAGTTGCTACCCGGCCTATGAAATCAGATTGGGCCAGTAGAAGAACATACTTGTGTCTCCCCTGGACAAGAAGTAAACTTTACTTGCCCTGTACCGGCGTACAGGGTCTGAACAAGGTACATTCGTGTCAACCACAACATCGTACTAAAAACGTTAAAACGATGACAATTCCAGCTTATGACGATATTTTCTAGAATGTAATCATCAACTTCCATATAAATTTGATAAAGACAAATATTTCATTACTCCCATATAAGTTTGTTTGATTCATGTTCTCATCATGTTGTCTTTATATAAAACGCCTGCTTAAAACCTATATATGATGTATATAGTAGTTAGTTCGTAGTTCTGTTTCTATATGCCGAGCAATTGCGTGGCGCTATACTCATAGGTATTGAGATCAGGGACGTCGGTCGTCAACAAATAAGCAATCTTTTAGTGACGTGATGGGGCTTCGTTGAAGACTCCGGAATAATTATGAAATGACGAGAATAAATACATATTATAGTAAATATGTGTCACAACACCACTACGGTCACACACGGCTAACAGCTGGTCCAATTGTGAATCAGACGTAATTATCTCCTCTCCAAGTCTGGGGTTATTTTTATTCAACAATAGTGGTTACGTATTAGAAATCATATCGTATATATTTACAAGAATTAACCTTGTTCGTAACCAAAGAAATAAATAGTGTATAGGTAATCTGATTACTAGTATCCATAACGTATTTAATTTTATTATAATATAATTGCTCGTGAATGGCGTAACGTCATCTACTTGGTGTATTTAATTGAACGTATAATACACAATAAATTCACTCCAAAAATAATCGACGTACCTAGATGTTTCTAAAATTGTTTTATTGGAGGTATTACAAAGAGGGACTTTTTAAAATAGATGGTTGAAAACGAATAACTTGTTATACATTTTTATTACTATTTGTCAACTAAGGTCAACTTTGTTGATTGATAGTAGGTTATTATTTTGTGTCAATGGGTTAATTTATAGTAGGCGCTAGCCGCGATTGTGAGACGCCATTCAATTACCGATATGAAACAAATGTACGTAACTATCTCTGATTCTCTGTGCAGTTGCAATCAGATTAATTGTACAACCATGCGGTTCTACTTGAAATAAATGTCAATTGATCATTTAGAGTAACAACTTCACAAGGACACGGGTCGGGTGCGCTAAAATAGAGTGGGTCGATAGAATTGCCAACGTAATTTGCTTATTTAACTACAAATTCTAAAGACAGGGACAGATAACTTAGTACATTAGCCTAATATAGATGGAACGATTTATTAATAGACAGATAAAATATTGCAAACTTTCTGGTTTATTTTTCTGATTGATCTCATAAAGTGACATTTTATTACATACATACTTCGTTGTCCCAGATGAATGACAATAGAATTGTGCACCCGCTTGCGTTAACGGGTGGGGCACCAATGGAAGATAATAGGGTGAGCATGAAGTTACATCCGTCATTGTGGTGAATGCCCTATGAATTATCCAGTTTGGATTCCAGGGCAGACCGCATGAAGGTCTATCTGATACAGTACATTTACTAGCAATTTGAGTCCAAAGTGGTAGGGGTTGACTCTTATGTCTTGTCCCATATTAGTTTGTTGGATTGTTAATGGTGTATCCAAAACTGGAAAATCTGTCCGAAATGTAAAATAATGGGCTAATAAATTAAAAGCTCATAATATCATAATACTTTAATATTACTTATGTACATGTATATATAAAAGGTAAGTATATATATATACTAATAGGTACCTTTTCCTTTTTACATACATATACAGAAACTAACAAGAATATCACTAACACCTATTATAAAAGTCACAGTGAGTTTGTTACAGTTTCACACTTTAGCATACACATATGTAGGTACTTGGGATAGATGCGGACAGACCCTATTTTTAGCCCAAAGCCGAATTGGAAGGTATTGTGGAGTTTAAATTTTATCCTTTTTGTCTATGCCAAAGTGAAAAATTCATTCAATTATCCTTACTAATGTTCAGTTTTATCACCACCCATTTAGCTAAAAGAAAAATATGATATATTAGTGACATTGCTCCTATCTCTTCCATAATAAAAAAATATAGATCATGATAAACTATGAGATTTTTTCAGTCTATTCTATAGAAAAGTTTGCAGCCCTTAATAATGTATATTTTTTGTATTATGATATTGTCACTTACCATAAATTAATTGGATGCTGTTTATTAATTAATTATATTTTACGATGAAAAGAGAACAAAATAATATATGTACTTACTTAAAAATCTTATTGGTATAATGAGTCACACTCTGCCTCACAGGAGACACCATAAACATATGTGAGTAATTTGCATGTTTGTTTTTTAGAAATAAAGCAAAATAAATAAACATTACATGTATTTAAAATAATATTCTATATTTAAGTTATTTGTATAAAAAAAATAGCAAATAGATCTAATCATGTAACTTTTAATTTTATTAAAATTATTATGCATGTAAAAGAAATATCTTGGTTTACACAGGATATATATATATATTATAAAGTAGTCATATGGTCTGCTTAGTTTAGGCCTAGATGGCGCTGTGCTGATAAGTTGTTTTATTTGAATTTAAAATATATTTATAATTATTATAAATTATTGTGTATTAAATAAAAATATTTATATTGCATTAAGCAATACCAAGTTAAAGTGAAAATAATGTGCTTCAGGTATAAACTAGGTACTTACCTATCATAAAACCAGATGATTGTAAGTTAAGATAAATTATGGGAACATTTATTAAGAACTGTGAAAATTACACTGAAGTTATTTAACTTGAATAGTTTCATTGTCTCGATCGCTTCAAGATACTTTCACGGAAAATCATCACCCGCGAATCATAAACCCGTTTTTTCACTATACAGAAAATGGCACAGATTGTTAAGTATTATTGATTATTTAATTGTAATATAATAAAAATGAGAATGGTTCATCATTGAAATAATATCGAATGCTACGCTACACCACTTGAAAAACAGATAGAGGGGAAAAGGAAATCAAGAATGATTCAAATCAATGCAATAGAGTTGTTGTTCCTTGCTACTATACTTCTACTCAGAAACTGTAGACAGAGAAAGCTAGGAGAATTGATCATGTTTGACTCTTCAGTCAGTTCAGTTTTTATGTTATATATAACTATATAATGTTCTTGATTATATAGGTAGGTTTATATGTACAAATGAACATAGCCTACAGTGAGAATGTCATATACTGTCAAAGTGACAGTGACTTTGACAAAGATAACCGAATCTAAAAATCTAGACAACAATCTGGACAAATCTGGACAATAATCAATACTATTTTATTAAATTAATAAAATAGTATTGATTATTGTCCAGATAGAATATTAAAATAGCAACTAAGCTAGTATTACGGGTAGTATCAACAACGATAAACGAAGATGATAAAATTATTACTTTACTTATACGTAGGTACTTTTCACTTCGACCATGTAAACCGACTAGGGAGCGTATTATAAACCTTTCCACAGGCTTTAATTTTGACCCTCGTTTTACGAAATACGAGTCATACGAAAAATAATAAGCCAATTTAAGGCCTTGAAATAAACTGCCTAGATTTAAAAAAGTTCGTAATACGCTTGCAGGATTGTGCACACAATGTCGTGTTTCCATTTAATGATTATAAATAGATAGAACCAATATGGTCAAATTGAAACTAAAATAAATATGATTATAAACTCCTAACTGATTATAAACTTGAAATCAAAATATATAAAATGTATGTTACATTTTATATATTTTGATTTCAATCTTTACTACTACGTGTTTAATTCTATGTACAAATGATTAGCTTATACGTACAAATAATATTAAATAAGAATATATTGTTGTCATTACGTCACACGTTTTAGTCACCGATATCTACTTTAGCGGGGCACGTTGGCGAACAGTTGCCGTTACCGGTAACACTTTATGTATTTATCATCTTATAACGTAAGGAGTAACAATAAACTATAAGAGGACTGGATATACACTGAAAATTTCGGAAAGAAGTTGTACGTCATATTTTGATGTAATTTTTCTAAAAGAGACTTCATATATTATTATCCAAGCCTAGAAAGATAACTTGAAGGTTAAGACATGGATACTTCCATAGATTATTGACGGACAAACTTCAGATGCAGCCAAGTTATTATTTTGGCTATTGTTACAGTTTAAATTAATTTTTTTATTATTTAGTATGGGTGTGATGGGATTGTCATCGTCAAATTTATTGTAGAAAAATAAATAGAGAAAAAATGTTTGAAGGTTGGCAACTATGTAAGTCACTCATAAGTTCATAAGACCGTCAATCTATCAGTCAGAAAATTACGGAAAAATTAATCTTGTAAAAATTTTAAATTTAAAAACTATGTTTAAATTACTTATATATTCTACAATATTATAAGAAATACTGATATATCAATAGTTATTTTAATTACAAACTTGTTTTTAATCATACATTTACTTGTGTAATAATTATATTTATTATATCAGTGATTGAGTAGCTCTAAAATAGTTATCAGATATTTCTAGGTTTTATATATATACATATATATATATATATATGTTCAACTGTACGCTGTAACTGGAAAGGTAATTAAATTTAATAGTATCAGCAATTTATATTTTGTTTTCTGTTTTTAATGTGCCCATGTGTGTTTTTTACTCCATTTTATGCAAACTTGACCATAGAATAATTATACTCATCACCCGTTATAGCATGTGGATTAAATTTAAATTGAAAAATACTTACTTGACTCCGATAGTCAAGTAAGTATTTTTCAGTAATTTGTCTAAATTATTTTGTTTAAATAATTAATTACGGAATTAGTTGTTGGTGGATTAGTGGTTGTAACTTACTTGTTTACATATTAGCTTGAATCTTTAAAATTTTCTCAGTAAGCTCATGTATTAAAAGTTGCTAAAACATCCACTGCCACTTGGGCACACCTGAATGTGTACTATGAATAATTTGTTATCTAGTTCACATAGTTTCATTCAGTGGCTTTTTAATAACAGCAATTTTTGTTACAAGCATAAATTCTTATATACACTAATATACACAGAGATCTTAAATAAACAGAACAGGAACACACTCAATCAACTTAATATGAATAACCACAGTTGGTTGTCAGAATATATTTACATATAATACAGGGATTGCTTAATTTATTTTTGACCGGCTGTTCCTGTTACTGTTCAACTTTGTCTGTGTGGAATTTAAATTTTATTTATCTAAAATAAAAATAGCCTAAGTTACTCAAAATGCAATCAGCTACCTGCCAATAAAAGTCCTGTCATAATCAGTCCAGCCATTTCAGAGATTACCCGGAACAAACAGACAGACATATAAAAATTTTAAAAATGTTATTTTGGTGTATGTACTGTGTTTATATTCATATGCATGTAGTAAAGAACGGTTATTTCAGTATTACAAACAGACACTCCAATTTTATTTATATGTATAGATTACATTCTGGTTGGAAAGCAGATCCTAGCAATGTACTTCGTGGTGCTGTCTAGGTAATATGAGCAGGTCATATATGGTATGGCAATGAATGATAATCCATATAAAAGTCATAATGTAGATTATTATATATGTTCTTACTCATTTTTACACTACATTTCGCTAGGTGGGTCATCTTAGTGATTCTGTTGGTATTGTAGATCTATCCTATACTAGGTATTATAAATAATAAAAGTAAAGATTAAGCTAATTTATCTTTTATTTTTAGAAAATATGGACACTGTTGTCAAAGGTATGCTGGATGATGATCCTGAGGATAAAAAGGTAATTTAGTGTAATTTCTTTGACATAATATTATCATTTTATATTATTACTTATATAATACAATGAATATATGTTCAAGTAAATGAAACTACCTTTAATAATAATAGCTGTGGTAATAATACAGTATAAAAAATACACTTAGTCTGAACTTTCTAAAAATTTGTACTTTTACAAACATACATACTTTTTTTTCACAGGGTATAGTGCTTTTTGGTAGAGATTTATCACAAATACCATGTTTCCGTGAGAGCTTCCTGTATGGAATAGCAACAGGAGCCGGTGTAGGCTTGGGAGCCTTTATCAAAACATCTAAACCTATGTTAGCACAACACATTGGTTTTGGTACATTCTGCATGACTACATTGGTTTATTGGTCATTTTGTAGATATCAATGGTCTAAACAGAGGTTTGATGCACAGTTACTTCAGGATGCTTTAAAAGATAAGATACTTTATGAAGGTACTGTAGTTGAGAAGGAATTAGAACAGAAAGGTGTTTTGAAATCTGCATAACTACTTGTAAGGAAATCTACAGGAGTGGCATCATATGATACATGAGTTCTGCATCAAATGGGGTAACACATTATCAGTCATACAAAAATCAAATTTTACCAGAGTTATTAGGTAGCAAATATTCTAATTAAAATATTTAAATGTGCAATAGACTAATAGTCTATTACTGATCTTATTTTATTAATAATAATTTCATATTCAGCAGACTCATCCTATTTTTTATCATCCATTTTGATTTAGACAAATACATTTATACTTATGTAATTACTGTAAATATTGTTTAAAATAATAAAAAGTATGTTTAAAATACCCTAAGTATAATAGCACCTTCTAACCCTGCAGAAATACCTACTTAAATAATGTTTGTAAATAAATAATATACATATATTGTAATGTATAAAAGAATTAGTTTATAGTTAATCAGTCTGTAAAGAATAGAAATACATTTTACTAACAGTACACATTGGGTTTTATTTAAGTTTGTTGGCTTGAGAACATTAATACATTGAATTCCTAGACAAGTGGTCACCACCATAAATAATTTAAGTTTAATCAATATGATCGCAATTTACCATGTCAGAGCGATCTCCACGCGGCCCTCCCTTGAAATTTCCTGGTGATTTAGTTGTCTGGATAGAAACCTTAATGCTATCGTTTATGATTTAATCTTACATAATTCACGTCAGATTAGTAAGCTCATCATGGAAAAATTACCAGGAACGTATTTAATTAAAAGAAAATTTTGTATAAAACTTTATTTGTATGAGAATAGGTAAGTACCTACAAAAAACTCTTGTATAAATAAACAATTCATTAGGTATAACCATAAGTACAGGCAGTCAGTGGCAAATATAATATTTAAAAGTTAATGTACTCATAATTGTTGAATATAAAGTGTAGAAAGTTCGTACACGTGCGAATGGAATTTGATACATACCTTCATAAATAATAATATGATACTAAGAGGTTTATCTATAAGTAGATTAACTTTATTAATACTTACGGCTTGCTGTCATGAAGAAACTGCGGTCGTAACTAAAGCATAGCATAGACGATGCATCAAAACGGACACCGCGCCTCGTCCAGACTTTGTACAACAATTCACTTCATAGTGAATTATTTAACGAGTCTTTTTAACGCATATGTTAACTAATTAACTTGAAGTTAGTTTCAAACGTATTTGAGAATAAATGAGAATAATTGGTTTGCATAGTACCTAATATTAATGTAGGTAGGTATGTAGTAGGTACCTAACAATTCTAATTTATCGAATAAACTTGGAACTAAGTTTCGATAAAAAATAATGCACCAAGTCTGACAATTCTTAAAAAATTAGATATGATTATTCAACTGCGTTAATTCTTGCGTCGCCGAGAGGGCGCGCGGCGCGGCATCGCGGCAGGCATCTTGAAAATCAGGTTTGACATATATATTGTATCGTCAATGTACGGCTTTACACTGCCAATCACTTTACAAGGGCCCGCTGTTGGTATGTAATAGAGCCGATCAGACTATATCAGTCGCCAGTACAGTTCGGTGTTGGTGACAGTTTATGAAGTTATGTGTATTTTCTGCGTAGTATAAATAATGGAAGTATCTGCAATAGAGGTACCTGAGGATGCCGAAACAGTTTTAATGTTTTATGTTAACGGTAAAAAGGTAAGTGTTTTGTTTTTATTTTCTAGTAGGTATTTTCATTCGGTTTTTTTATGAAATCTAACGGTCACGTCAAACTTATTCCAACGTCGACATTTTTGCGTGGGGGATTAAAAATATAGTGCAACAGTAAGGTTTGAATTGAATATTATCGACAAAAATAGAAACGGTACAGACTTTCTATACCGCTTGATTCTATGCGGGAGGCTTGAGAAGATGAACAGAAACGGACAATAAATTACTTAAATGATTTTAATATTTACTTAATAATAACCAATTTGTTACATGTTGAAAGTTCATATTATAGTAGTTGATCCGCGCAACTTCGTCTGTGTCACATTTTACCCATTTTTGCCATATTTTCAATCCATGTTCCGCTCCTATTGGCCATACCGTGATATTATAATAGCCACTTTAGAAAAGATATTATATAGATTTTTTAATTTTGTAGACTAGGTACCGAAGATCTCGGTACAAATACAAACTTTAGATAGGTACTTGGATATGTAGAATATTACTATTGTTTATTTTTCACAGTTAATGTAAATTTCCAGGTTGTAGAATCAAAACCTGAACCAGAATGGACGTTACTTTGGTATTTACGTAAAAAGCTATATCTAACTGGAACAAAGTATGGCTGCGGAGAGGGTGGATGTGGAGCCTGCACTGTCATGGTATCTCAATATTTGAGAGCAGAAGATCGCATTAAGTATCCTTTTTTAATGTTCTCTGAAAACATTAATAAGCTAAATCAACTCAATAAAAGGGCACCTACATATATAAAAAGTGAAAGTCGGATGGAATATACTATATAGATATTTGAACATTTGCCGGACAGGGAATGATTTACCTAATCATTTACAAATGAATATTTTTTTTTCATAAAAAGTTTACCTACTCGTACTTATTCCGGTCAGTTGCATCGATGAAACTAGTGCTGTGCTAAACTGGCTAGTTAAATTAAATAAGCATTCAAATAGATAAGATTTTTAATTCTCATCCAAGTCATGATTTAATAATGCATATTACATCACTCCAAAATGATTTTTTATTGTCACAATTATCCATACTTCCATGATAACATTATAAATGATAAAATGTGACTTTGATCTTGCAAGTCAATAGATTTTTTAATAGATTAATTTTAAACAGCCATTTCTAATTAACGTTCAAATTAAAATAAGGCGTAGTAAAAATAAAAATAAGGTGTTTATATGTAGGTACATATGAGCAATATCAGTATGTTGGATATATATAAAATGGTCCTTAACATGAATATATCAATAGACATATAGCAGTAAATGCTTGCCTGACTCCGGTCTGTGCCATGCATGGTTTAGCGGTTACCACAGTTGAAGGTATCAGTACGACGCAAGATCGATTACATCCGGTTCAAGAAAGATTAGCGAAAGCACATGGGTCACAGTGTGGATTTTGTACGCCGGGCATTGTCATGTCCATGTATGTTTTATTAAGAAACAAAGAAAGGATTAACTATTTCGATATGGACAAAGCATTGCAAGGAAATCTGTGTAGATGTACTGGCTACCGACCAATAATAGAAGCATTCAAAACTTTTGGTGAAGCTTGGAAAAGAAATTACGTAGATGAAAAAGGAAATAATTCATGCGCCATGGGCGAAGATTGTTGCCAAAATAAAAATATATCGGAAAATAATAAAAATGCGGTTCCTAATAAATCAATTTTTGTACCAAATGACTCGAGCCAGGAACCCATATTTCCTCCTGATTTAAAATTGAATAAATACTATAGCGAATCATATTTAACATTTAAAGGAAAAAATATTGTATGGATCAGACCACGTAAACTTGAGGATTTGCTTCTGTTGAAGTATAAATACCCAAATGGCAAAATAATTGTAGGCAACACTGAAATAGGCGTAGAAATGAAATTTAAGAAAATGAAATTCCCCATATTGCTCAGTCCAACAATGATACCAGAAATGAACATTTGCAGCGTTACTCACGAAGGAATAACTATAGGAGCAGCTGTTTCATTAAATGACATTCATTGCTTTATAAATACTCAGCTTGGGCATGATAATACAAAAGAGCGTATTTTTGATGCTATAGTAGATATGCTTAATTGGTTTGCTGGCAATCAAGTTAGAAATGTTGCTTCGCTTGTTGGAAACATAGTAACGGCTAGTCCCATTTCCGATTTGAACCCTATATTAATGGCGTGTTCGGCAGTGCTTAATGTTTACAGTTTTGATAGAGGACATAAGAAGTTAATTATTGATAAAGACTTTTTTGTAGGATATAGAAACACATTGCTTAATGATAATGATATTATTGTATCAGTTGAAATACCATTTACTAGTAATCATCATTTTTTTAAAGCATATAAACAATCGCGTAGAAGAGACGATGATATTTCTATAGTAACAGCAGCATTTAGTGTTAAATTTGTAAATGAAGTCGTTTCAGAAGCTATGCTATGTTTTGGGGGTATGGGACCAGCTACTGTATGTGCAACAAATTCTTGTTATTCTCTAAAAGGCTGTTGTTGGGATAAAAATATGTTAAATTTGATGATGGATTCTCTGACAAGCGAATTAAAACTGGACACTTCTGTACCTGGGGGCATGGCAGCCTACCGTAAATCACTGTGTCTAAGTTTATTCTATAAATTTTATCTTCATGTTTTAAGTAATTTAACGTCAGTTGATGGTTATAACCCAATAAACGACTACGATCAGTTAAGTAGTAAAAATATATTAATTAGCGAACCAAAGAGTTCACAATATTTTGATATAAAAAACAATGTCATTAATATTTCGGATTCCGTTGGAAAACCGATACCACATGTGTCGGCAATGAAACACGTAGCAGGTGAAGCAATATATTGTGATGACATTCCACATACAGAAGGCGAATTATATTTAACCCTAATTTTGAGCACTGAATCCCATGCACGAATCAAGTCTATAGATGCTAGTAGAGCTCTTTCGGTATCAGGTGTTGAAATGTTCTTATCATCTGCCGATTTGGATGATGAATGTAATAAAATGGGACCTCTTATAAAAGATGAACAGGTATTTTATAAAGATATAGTATTTAGCCGCTCTTGCGTCATTGGAGCTGTGATTGCTAAATCTGAAACAACGGCGAGAAAAGCGAAAGATCTGGTGTCAGTAACTTATGATCGAATACAGCCTGTAATAGTTACGTTAGAAGATGCTATAATGCATAAGTCTTTTTTTCCTGGATCTCCTACTCGTTTAAAAAAAGGGGATTTGCAAGATGTTTTCTCAAATTCACTTCATATTATTGAAAGCCACGTTAGAACTGGATCTCAGGAACATTTTTATTTGGAAACAATATCTGCTTATGCTGTGAGAAGAGAAGATGAATTAGAAATTATTTGTAATTCACAAGCCCCCGCTGAAATAGCGGTAAGTAAAATATAAGAAAAAATCAATTGCATGTATCATACATGAAAATCGCCCTATGACAATTTTATCTAGATGGAGAGATATTCTCAAATAAGACTGTTTACTACATATATCTATTTTAGTTTATTTCGCAAGTATATGTATGTAACAGTATAAATAGTGGGTATAAAAGCATCACATATTCATTTTCAAGAATGACTATGCTTTAGAAGTATAATGTACGTCCGTGTACTATTAACCAATATAATAGAAAGCATAACCATCGCTTATAAATATATTTTATCTTTATAAGAGATGGTTATGCTTTCTAACATTTGGACATTTATTCCAGTAGTAAAAAATAAATAAAAAAGGCTGATGTGGATTGTAAATAAATGAAATAATAACGGACGTATTAAGACTGGAAATGTTAAAAGAAGTAGACTGATATTAAACTTTTTATTAGATACTTATAAATATTTCATATTTCAGCGAATAGTTTCAGAAGTTCTTCGTATTCCTAACCATAAAGTTGTATGTAAAGTAAAAAGGATTGGAGGGGGTTTTGGCGGTAAAGAATCTCGAGTAATGACTTTGGCGGTACCAGTTGCAATAGCGGCATATAAGTTAAACAAACCCGTTAGAGCCGTTCTAGATAGAGATGAGGATATGCAAATTAGTGGTAATAGGCATCCTTTCCTTATAAAATACAAAGTAGCATTTAGTGATGACGGAAAAATTGTTGGCGCAGCATTTGACATGTATTGCAATGGCGGGCATTCGATGGATTTATCTAGTGCGGTAAGATCTTATTGTTGCTTAGGAAATTTTACTTTTTTAAGTAAACGTAGTCAGAAAAGCAATTTCTCTTTTTTGAAGTACTTTTAATACAAGAAGAATTAATATTTCAATCCACAATTAAAGTTAGTAAGTTAAGTTAATTAAAGTTATTAGTAATAAGATGTATTTTTTTGTTATACATAACTAGGTGCTCGCCTTGGCTTCGCACGGGTGTACATATATGTAGGTTGTTGTATGTACATGTATTATACAACAACCTTCCTCTTGAATAACTCTATTTATTGCTGAAACCTGCATTAAAATTCGTTGCGTAGATTAAAAGATCTAAGCGTACAGACAGCAGGAGTAACTATGTTTTAAACTATATGAAGAGGTTGGTTTCTGTCGATAGTATCTATTACCAGAACCACACATCGTTGTGCTTTGTTATGATATATTTATCTAAATGGTGTATGAATATGATGAATTGCCTAATAAATAGAGGCCATCGGTATTCAGTTTTATTTACCTACTAACAGAATAATCATAAGAGGTTTTATATTATTAAATACAGTCAAAGCGAATTCTAATGTAATAAATATTAAATATTTTTCTTTTCAGCTAATTTTAAGATCTGTAACACATATTGATAATTGTTATTTTATACCAAATATTGAAGTAAATGCATATATTTGTAAAACAAATATACCTTCAAATACAGCTTTTCGAGGTTTTGGAGCGCCTCAAGTAATGTTCGCTGCAGAAAGTATGATAAGAGATGTTGCTGTGTATTTAAATAAAACGTACGAGGAAATTGCTATGCTGAATATGTATGGAGAAAGCGATATGACTCACTATAATCAGTCGCTTAATTATTGCACTTTATCAAGATGTTGGAATGAATGTATTCAAACTAGCACATACTGGAAAAGGAAAATAGAAACAAATGAATTCAATAGGTACATTTTATCAATAATTTCTAAATTTTACGTATATAAATAAAAATTTCCACTTCATACGAGAAGTCTAGAATAATGAAACAAAAATAACTATATCTTTTTTTTAGAACAAACAGATGGAAAAAGAAAGGCATTGCTTTAGTTCCAACAAAATATGGCATATCTTTTCAATCCGATGTTCTTATGCAGGCTGGCGCATTGTTATTAGTGTATAATGATGGATCAGTTTTATTAACCATAGGAGGTGTAGAAATGGGGCAAGGACTTTTTACAAAAATGATTCAAGTAGCTTCCAGGGAATTGGAACTGGACATTAATAAAATTCACATTAGTGAAATGTCTACTGATAAAGTGCCAAATAGTTCTCCAACAGCAGGGAGCATTAGTTCTGACTTATATGGAATGGCAGTAATAGACGCCTGTTCTATTTTAAAAGTAAGATTGGAGCCATATAAATCTAAAACTCCCAATGGAAAATGGGAAGATTGGGTTATGGCGGCGTATTTAGATAGAGTGAATCTAACCGCCACGGGATATTACGCTGCATCAAAAATTGATTTTGATTTTAATACGAATTCTGGGAATCTTTATGAATACTTTACTTATGGAGCTGCATGTTCAGAAGTTATAATTGATTGTCTTACTGGCGATCATCAGGTACTGAGATCTGATATCGTAATGGATTTAGGAGAAAGTATAAATCCTGCTATCGATATAGGCCAAATAGAAGGCGCGTTCATGCAAGGATATGGTTTTTTCACAATGGAGGAAATGCTATTTTCACCAACTGGAGAAGTATTATCAAAGGGACCTGGAACATATAAAATTCCTGGTTTTTCTGATATACCTAAAGAATTTAATGTGTCACTCCTTAAAGGTGCTCCTAATCCACGAGCTGTTTATTCTTCTAAGGTAATAGATGAACACAATACGTTATTATAAATTGTATATATATACATATTATAAATTTAAATTAATTTTTATAAATACGTGCATCTGGAATTGAAGTCGTGAGCATAATTATAAAGATAGCGTAAATAATCACAACTCATATTCAGTTTATGTAATTAGTATTCAATCAACACCATTCAATATTTTACCAATTTATTGTCCATTGTTAAATACGTCTTGTCTTAAATTAAGCTTGTCTATGAGTATTGATTTATAGAGACTTTATTTTTCTCTACATCTATAGTAGGGTCAACGATTTTGTATAAAAGCTATGATAAATTTATTTCTAGGCCGTGGGAGAACCTCCTCTGTTTTTGGCTGCGTCAGTATTTTTTGCTATAAAGGATGCTATTGCATCTGCGCGGACCGATGCTGGTGTGTCTCCAGAATTCGTACTTGATGCTCCAGCCACATGTTCCCGAATACGAATGGCTTGTGAAGATCGTTTCACGGAACAGGTATGTTGCGTTATTGAGTATGAGCTCGTGAACGAATGTTACTAGTAAATGACTATCTTTGTTTATTCAGCCATATTATGGAAAGAAGAACTATTTTGGTCATAAGTATGTAATTATACATAAAACACTATATTTTTTGTTTCAGGTGAAACCGACTATTAAAGGAAGTGGCGAACAGTGGAACGTTGTCGCATAGGAAATGTTGTGAAACGTATATTAATTATAATTATTACTTTGTAAGAAAATAGTCAGTAGGGAATACAACCTACTTCCAACAAAAGTGAAACCAAATAAAGTCATGTGTACAGAGCTAGCGAGCGCTGGCAGTCGAACGTCAACACATAAAATTTTCGGGGTGTATGAGGTGTGTGGTCACAGAACAAAGTTTTTTGAGGAGGGCGCAGTGTCTGATTTATCAAAAAAATATTTATCACGACGTCACCTTAACGCATACAATAATTACGCACGCAATTTTTAAACGCATACTAGGCGTACATATGTTAGAAATAAGGTTCGTAATTACATTAATATTAATAAGATTGATTAGTTAAACCTTAATGTTTTTAATTATAAATATACTATTACTTATCTATACAGAAGTCTTAGCAATTTATTCCGAAGTCCCTTATATAATACCTCATATATAATATACCTATTGCCGTCTATAAACTAAAAATACTTAGTTTATCAAGATCTAGATCGAATGTTTTTTTCATATGCTTAGGTACAGAACCCATAATAAGGAACTATTTGATACTCCTTGTGCATATTTACTATGTAAAATATATATTATGATTTATAGTGAGAATATATTACAATAATTTTGTGTGTTGCCATAAATAGTTACAGTATTATTTGAGTTAAATTAGGTTTGATTAAGGTTTTGTAGTTCTACATTTTTGTAGAACTACAAAACCTTCAATTTAGTTAACTTCAATTTAGTAGAGTATCAAATTATAGTAGGTACATATAAGTTGAGTTAGGTACTAAATTATTTTTTTATTTGTTACTGTTGAATAATTATAAAAGTACAAATCCGAAGCGTGAAGACGAAAAATATGTGGACCGGAGGATCAGCAGGGTAAAGTCTAGACATCATAGTTCTAATAAACAATACCATAAGTCCCCACCAGGACCCAGTCTAAGCTGTAACAGTGGAAGGCGCTCCTCAAAAAGCAGTGGAAGAGGCGAGATGGAGTGAAGATATATGCTGACCATATGTTAATGGAAGTTGCTGTATTCTTTGTAATGGATAAATTCTTTGTAACGGTGGGACCATATTTTCAGTAGATTGATGCTTGAGCAATGATGAATGACTAATTTTATTTTAGCATATTTCAAACATATTTATGCGTAAAATTTAAACTCTTGTAGAATAGAAAACAGTTTGGACAATCGGACATTATACATGCAGTTCTGCATAATCATTAGCTGTGTACCTAAACACAGCTAATAAATATTTTGTTAGCCTTAGCCGATATTTCGTAGTGTGAATGGCCACCGTGGGGTAGGGTAGCGAGTTCAACCTCGCACGGTCCAAACATTTGTATTCATCAGTATGATTGTTTGAATTGGTTTGGGTGTTTACCATATAGATATTATGTATTAATAAAAAAATATTTAACTATTTTTATCAGTTGTCGAGTATCCATAAAAAAATCTCTGGTCAGGGTTATTATTATTACAATGTACGAGTACCTACTTGTAAGTAGGTAGCACTTACATTTATTTTATGAGTACTTAGGTATATCTAAACTTGTCAGATTAGCTTTCTGTTGATGTCTCATGGACCGTTGCCATAAAAGTTAAAGTAGTGATAAAAGACTGTCCTGACCTTCAGTTTCTTTAAGTAGGTAGTTATTTTCTGTAGATAAACACTTGTTTACGAAGTCAGATCTCTGGGAATGGCGGCAACAAGTTATCCGACGTTGTGTGTCAGTGGCATTCGAGTAATAATGAGAATTGGTTGTGCCCGTGTATATTGGACTGTAGTTGCACGGTATTACACATACACAATTGAATAAATAAGTAAATATAACATGAGTTCTGTGAATGCTGAGGATGACGTTTGTGATAACAATGTTTGTACAGAATTGGTATTCTATGTTAATGGCAAAAAGGTACGTACTACCGCGGTTGTTTTCTTTTTATTAATGATTAAACAATTAATTTACTGATATGGGTACATCATATCAATGCAATTTTAAGTTTAGAATATTTTACAATATCCTGTAGATGCATCGCGTGAATGCTTATAATGCAAGGATATCAATTTTCGTTTTTTATATGTATGCTTTATATTTACGACTGCAAAATGTAGATTTATATTATCCATATTTTTGATAAAATCCTTCTAACTAATGACACTATGTTATTAATTATAACTTAAAAATTATAAACAATAAGGTATCTACTAAATATTGACACAGAATAAAAAGAAACAATAAAACAGATATAAATTATATAATTCACGAGATAAATTTAGAATGTGGATAAAGCAATAATAAAGCTAAAATTATTACTAAGTAATGCGGCTGTTGCATCGTCCTCAGATAAAGTCCTCAGATCTAAAACTATACCGGTACCTTTATCCTAAATACATTAGGATAAAGGTACCCTTTACCCTAAATCCCTTACGGGATAGTTAAGTAAAGGTAGCTAGTAGCTAGCTAAGAAAAGTAATATTAATATTATAGCATTGTTCTGCAATGCTGCACGTAGAATTCATATAAGTACTTAAAAATATAGGTGGTCAACTATTAAAATGCGACATATTTATGTGCGTTCTACTAGTATAAAGAGCCGACGCGGCGACGCGACGCTTTAGTTTATCAGCTGCTAGAAGCCATATCAAGAATGTCATTTTGTTATGCGTAGATAAGAGCTCATCTTGATGTAATAAAAGGTTCATAGCAGTATATATAGTAACCACTTATATAAAATATAGTATAAGGTACTTAATATATACTTAATATATACTCACTTCATAAAAAAATGGTTATGCACAAAAACGCTCAGTCACTTATTACATGAAATATATTTTGATTTATGGGTTTGAATGAATTTGAATATTTAGAAAATGTTTTATATTTACGTACATACATATTAGTTCTTTACGGGATTTTTCAAAAGGTTAGGTTCTATTTACCAGGTCCTGTATGCCAAAAAGAACTTATATTTCGCAAATTTTCTTGATAGTTACACTTATAGTCAGTACAGACAGTCAGTCTAGTCTTATCACTCTAGTGTAAATAATTGATTGCTTTGATCATATTTGTTAGACTTTTTATTGACGAATTGGATCATGTGTCAGATATGATATTAAGACGTTAAGTTGATTCAAATGTTAAGTTAGTAATAGTAGTTGTTATAATTATTACTGCTTCGAGATGACCATAACATTGCATGGCATTCATACATGAGTTATTCTGGTTATTCATGAGTATTGAAGTGGAACGACGTCTGCACACTATGTGCATATTATGTATCTAGTTTGCAATAACTTGACCTAGTTATTTTTATCAATTGATATGATATTGATTGCACAGAATAAATACTTACAAAATATTAAATATGCAATACAGAAAAGTAAACTAAAATATGTTATTTTTTATAAATGTAATTTAAACTGGCTTTCCACGGATGTGCTAAAAATGTCAGTCATATTTATTTTGAACAGATTGAATAGAATGTATCTGTAATAGTTACCAAATTTGATAAATCGTCTTTTAATGTGTGGCTGTTACTGAGTAATAATATATTATTTACATCAAGCTTTCTAATAATGTTACCGTCACAGCTGTTACACAGTGTCACAGATGGGGTGGTAAAATGCACTGTAAGTTGTCGACGTCTCTCGTAATCAAAGAAATATTTACCTTGCCCATATTTCCCTAAGAGTATTTTAGAATTTAAGTGTAACGGTTCAGATGGCGAGCTCCCTTTTATTTTTTTGGTTTGCGTTTGTTGTGGTCAGAAATATTAATTAACAAATATATTTTGTTGGCCACATTCGAACACATGACTTCTTCGGTCTAAGTTCGACTTAGATTATCATTTTTATTATGTACTTAATTGATACTACATTGGCTTGAACAGTCCGGGATTGTGTCTATAGCAACACGAAAGAAGGAAGGGTGTTCTATTATCTGGCAGTACGTAATAAAAATGATAACGCGAACCGCAGTGCGTATGTTAATAACAACTATTTCAGGTAACAGAACCCCAACCGGATCCCGATTGGACTCTGCTATGGTACCTGAGGAAAAAGCTGCGTTTGACTGGGTCCAAATTAGGGTGTTCAGAAGGAGGTTGTGGCGCTTGCACTGTCATGGTTTCTAAATACAACCGAAAAGAGAACAAAATCATGTATCCTTTAAAAATATGTCTTCTGAGAAATGTTCACATTTTTAATTATCCATACAAAAAAGATATTTTGTGAATGATGTACCTACCTACATACGTGCGAAGAAACAAACGAGATATAAGTACACTAAGGGGAGCTGGAAATTTACCTATTTTCTTATCGATTTACCTGTACTTAAGTGTTAAAGTGGGATAATTTGTGGATTTTTTTTATACACAAATTATTACAATATTATACACAGAGAACCGGTAAACATATCAACCATATCTGTTTTCCAGTTCTCTAGTGCGGAATCAATCGAGCTTTAAAATGATATGACAAATAATTATGTTTATTTCGGATCCGTGAATAATCGAATATTAAAAACAGTAAACATGTAAAGTTTGACTGTAACTCAAAATAATCATGACAATAATATTAAGAATAACAAACTTGTCCGCCTGAGTACTGTCTGTATATATTCTTTATAACAATAAATTATTCTTAACGTTTTTGTTCAGTCATCTAGCGGTGAACGCCTGCTTGGCACCAGTTTGTTCAATGCACGGATTGGCAGTCACAACGGTTGAAGGCATCGGTTCTACGAAAGAAAAATTGCATCCTGTACAGGAACGCATTGCAAAAGCACACGGTTCACAATGTGGTTTTTGCACACCAGGGATTGTTATGTCCATGTACACCTTACTTAGAAGTCGTCAAAATATAAAATACTCAGACTTAGAGGTCGCATTTCAAGGTAATCTATGTAGATGTACAGGTTATCGGGCCATTATAGAAGGATACAAAACATTTACCGAAGATTGGGAATTACAGCGTATCACAAATGGTACATTAAACAATAGCTGTACAACAAATGACAATCGATTTGGAACATGTGCAATGGGAAAAGATTGCTGTAGAAACAAAACTGGTACAAATGAAGATGAAAGTGAAACACAGCATATATTCGATAGATCGTCCTTTGTACCATACCATTCTAGTCAAGAACCTATTTTCCCACCTGAGTTGAAATTATTTGATGTATACGACAACCAATATCTAATATTTAAAGGGAAACAAAGTACTTGGTATCGTCCAACCAAACTGAGTACAATATTGGCGTTAAAGGAGAAAAATAATGATGCTAAAATAGTTGTTGGAAATACAGAAGTAGGAGTCGAAGTGAAATTTAAACATTGCGTTTACCCTATCATAATTATGCCCAACTGTATACCTGATATGAATGAAATCACAGAAAAAGAAACGGGTTTCACAATTGGCGCATCAGTGACACTCGTGGAAATGGAAAATGTTTTTAAAAAGTATATCAATAAATTACCACAGCATAAGGCAAGAACGCTTGTTACTATAATAGATATGTTAAATTGGTTTGCTGGCAAACAAATACGCAATGTAGCATCTATAGGTGGGAATATAATGACTGGTAGTCCTATTTCGGATTTGAACCCTATATTAATGTCTTTAAAAGTTAAGCTTAATCTTTTAAGTAAGCAAGGTTTTCGTTCGGTTCTAATGGATGAAACTTTCTTTACCGGGTATCGAAAAACTGTGGTAAAGCCTGATGAAATTTTATTATCCATTGAAATTCCTTATTCAGAAAAATACCAATATGTACAAGCATATAAACAAGCGAAAAGACGTGAAGATGACATTTCTATTGTAACTGCTGCAATCAATGTAATATTTGAAGATAACACAAATATTATAAAAAATATCACCATTGCATTTGGTGGAATGGCACCAATGACAAAAATTGCTTCACAGACTAGTCAGTCATTGATTGGAGAGAAATGGACAGAAGGCATACTAGAAAAAGCATACTCATATATGTTAGAAGAGTTACCGTTGAGTCCCTCAGCACCAGGAGGTAATGTTCAATTTAGACGAACACTGACAATGAGTTTATTTTTAAAAGCCTTTATAGCAATAGCCCAGCAAATATCAAACGATTATTTACATGAAGATATCATTAAACCATATCACAGTAGTGGAGCAGACCAATTTCATGGAAATATGCCAAAAAGTTCTCAATATTTTGATTTAGTAGGAGATAAGCAGGTAAAAAGTGATGCAGTCGGACGTCCTATACAGCATATGTCAGCGTTTAAACAGGCCACAGGTGAAGCTATTTATTGTGATGACATGCCTGTTGCTGAAAACGAATTATATTTAGCGTTTGTTCTCAGCAAAAAAGCACATGCAAAGTTAATATCCATCGATCCATCAAAAGCGTTGAAGGAACCTGGAGTTGTTGCTTTCTTTTCTGCTAAGGATATAACGTCTCATCAAAATACGATTGGGCCAATATTTCACGATGAAGAACTCTTTGCCAGTGAAAAGGTTATTAGTCAAGGACAAACTATTGGCGTTGTAGTAGCACAAGATCAAGCAAGTGCTCAAGCCGCTGCTAGAAAAGTAAATGTTGAATATGAAGAAATTCAACCTATCATTGTTACTATTGAAGATGCAATAAAACATAATTCATTTTATCCACAATATCCTAAAAAAATGATAAAGGGGGACGTTGAAGCAATTTTTCAGGATAAAAGCAACATTATCATAGAAGGACAATGTCGAATGGGCGGACAAGAACATTTTTATTTTGAGACAAATGCTGCATTTGCAAATCCGAAAAAAGAAGACGACGAATTAGAGATTTTTTGTTCTAGTCAACATCCTTCAGAAATAGCGGTATATATAATGTTTAACCTATTCTTTTCATGTAAGAGCGAATTTGGTACAGAGTGCAAGTAATACATAGCTACATAGATAAAAACTAGAAATCAATTTCTATTTCTATTCATATAGCTACCGAAGTAACAGTAATGTAAATCCTCGACTCGTAGAAATACTGTGTTATGATATTATCATAATTTTATATTAACTCATTACAGTTTGTTGGAGATTTCAAAAAAAGAAGTTTTGTATTAAACTTGTTTGATGATGATTAGAACATTTGTCTAATACGGTAACCATACCAAATATCATCATGACATCTTTTTATTTTACAGAAATTAGCTGCTCATGTTCTGAATATACCTATAAATAGAATAGTTGCTCGGGTAAAGCGCCTAGGAGGTGGATTCGGAGGCAAGGAGTCTAGGGGAATGTTGGTAGCCTTACCTGTTGTACTTGCCGCTCATAGACTTAATAGACCTGTGCGATGTATGCTTGATCGAGATGAAGACATGCAGATGACAGGTACACGTCACCCATTTTTAATTAAATACAAAGTGGCTGCGACAAAAGAAGGAAAACTGATGGGTGCAAAAGTGCATATATATAACAACGCTGGCTATTCTATAGATTTGTCTGGTGCCGTAAGTATTATATGCATATGACTTACTGATTGATTTGTAGATTAATGCAACGTTTATTGAAACATAAGTGTGGAGTTAATGAATAAATTATATTTTTTTAGGTTGTTGAAAGAGCTATGTTCCATTTTTCAAACGCTTACTATATACCAAATGTGGAAGTAGTCGGTCACGTTTGTAGAACCAATTTGCCATCGAATACAGCATTTAGAGGTTTTGGTGGACCGCAAGGAATGTTTGGTGCAGAAAATATGATACGCGATGTAGCTTGTAGACTTGGTAAAAATGTAGAGGAACTCAGTAGACTTAATTTATATCAAGATAATTTATCTACTCACTTCGGCCAAACATTAACTCATTGCACTTTACAAAGATGTTGGGATGAATGTATTGAAAAAAGTGATTTAGCAACACGAAAAACAAATATTGAACAGTTTAACAAGTATGTATAAATCTAAACTATAATCTACATCCTAGAATATAATATAAATACATCTATTTCTCGATAATAGTCGTAATAATTAATAATTCCGCCTGCGATAAAGTGTGAACTGGCGGTTGTGAGGCGGATTCATCCGGAATTGAACACGATGGTGATGAGGACAAGTACATGGAGCATCACACAGCATTGTATGCTATTATGCCATTTATTTTTCAATGAAACAATCGCATTACCCTTATTATAATATATTTCATAGATTGTTTCAATTAGATAAATAAATACATTTTTATTTTGCCGCTTGTACCAACAAATGTTTACTTTTATGTGTTTCACTAATCAAAACTATTATAATTTCAGACAGCATCGTTGGAGAAAACGTGGCGTATCCTTAGTTCCGACTATGTTCGGAATAGCATTTACAGAGAAATTGTTGAATCAAGCGGGTGCACTAGTATTAATTTACGTAGACGGATCAGTACTTCTATCTCATGGAGGAACTGAAATGGGTCAAGGACTCCATACTAAAATGATACAAGTGGCTTCAAGAACCCTAGGAATTGACGTTTCTAAAATATATATTAGCGAGACTGCAACCGATAAAGTCCCGAACACCTCAGCCACGGCGGCCAGTTCCGGCTCAGATTTGAATGGTATGGCAGTTCTGCAAGCTTGCGAGACCTTAGTGGAAAGACTTCAACCTTATAAAGAGAAAAATCCTAATGGTAAATGGGAGCAATGGGTATCAGCTGCATATGTTGATCGAGTTAGCCTTTTTGCAACCGGATTTCATGCAACCCCGGATCTTGGGTATAATTGGAAAACCAATTCAGGCAGGGCATTTAACTATTATACATATGGAGTTGCGTGTAGTGAGGTTGAGATTGATTGTCTCAGTGGTGACCATCAAGTTAGAAGAACGGATATCGTCATGGATTTAGGTACAAGTTTAAACCCAGCAATAGATATTGGACAGATCGAAGGCGCCTTCATTCAAGGATATGGTTTGTTCACACTAGAAGAATTGATTTATTCTCCAACCGGAACACTGTATTCTCGAGGACCCGGTGCTTATAAGATACCTGGTTTTGGGGATATTCCGCAAGAATTTAATGTATCTCTACTAAAAGGTGCACCAAATCCACGTGCCGTTTATTCATCCAAGGTGAATGCACAATTGCATCTTATTTTCTTCATAAGAATGTATTTATTTGAGGCGCGTTACATACGAGTAGATAAATATATATTTCATATATTGATAATTGCTTCTATTTGGTAGTGAAAACTGAACACGTACATATATACGATTCTAATAAAGCAATAAAATGTTACAGGCTGTGGGTGAACCACCGTTGTTCTTAGCATCAACAGTCTATTTTGCGATAAAAGAGGCGATACGTGCGGCACGCGCTGATGCTGGGATGCCTCTCGACTTCTACTTAGAATCGCCAGCTACATCCGCACGTATACGCATGGCTTGTGAGGATAATATCACCAAAAAGGTAAATTTCAAGCTGATTTCCAAGTTTTATTCCTCACACAATACATTATACACATATACATTTGTATTTTTATAAATATGCTTGTTTGTATTGTCTGGGTGTTTCCTATTATGTGTGTATTAAAAATAAAGTATTGAAGTCTTTCTATTAATTGTCTTCTCAGTAATCTATTGTTCAACTTGGAACTAGATGGCGCTGTGTGAATTGTCCAGGGTTATTATTATTATACATAATAAAGAGATTGCCATAGCGAGTACCTAAATTTATGTAAAAATTATGCGTGGTATTAATAAACTCTTAAATTTAGTGTTTAGTTTAATTTAATTTTTTCTCTTTCAGCTTAATATTCCTGACCCAGATAGCTTTGTACCTTGGAATGTAGTACCTTGAGAATTCTCAAAGCAGGTAACATTGGTGTGTATTTATAAGTCTAGCGCAAAGACAATTTAATTAGTTTAATTTAATTGTACCTAAAATTGTGTTGTTCTCGAAAATAATATTATGTAGTATGGTATGGTAAATAAATAACTGTTATCAACTTAGACATACATAGACATTAATGTTTAGATATACATAATAGGTAGGTACTTAATTATCTCACCAATTATATCTAACTTTAGATATAACGGTTTTGCGTATGGTAGTTTACTCCAAGATCCAATTGATGTTTGTTGATTTAAGTACGTAACAAACAGACGGTGTTATTTCGACTTTGCAGTGAATTAATATAATAAAAGTTAAAATTATATAATGTAATTGTTTTATTTTCTGAGAATATTATTAATCATAAATTAATAAAATCACGTTCCAGATTTTTAACATTAAAATTAAACTGATTTTAAAAATATACGGTTAAGTTTTCCACCACTGATTAAATTAGGCAATTTTGGATATCCGACATATATTTATAACTAGCTGTGCCCGGGTGAAATTTATTGCGTATATGTTATTATGATGTATAAGGTATATTACTGTAAAGTTTCATCAAAAGCCGCCCACTTTATGCGTGAAAGAGTAACAAACATCCATCCATATTCACAAACTTTCGCGTTTATAGTTAGATAATATGTAGGTACATTTAGAATATAACCAATTTGTAATAATTAACAAATGCTAAATTTTATTCCAATCTGTTCAGTAATTTTTGTGTGAAAATGTACCAAAGGTCTATTTTCATAAATTTCCCAATTGATAGCATTTGTAGGAACTATTAATAGCAAATACGTCGTACGAATTGTAAATATTTGATAAGTGAGAAGAATAAATACACCGTTAAATAGATAAAATTATTTATTTTAAATCATACCTAATATATTACATTTAAGTGACTAATAACAAATTCAATAAATTAAGGAGTGCAATCAATGACAGCTAAATTGAAATAATTTTATTATTGCTCATGTTATTGTTACTTATAACGAGTCAGTATAGTATAAATTATTGTAAGGTGGCACTAAGTACATTTAGATGTAATAGAATTATAGAAATAATGTAAGTTTATGTATTGCCGAAATTCTTAAAGAATACAAAATCATCAGGTACGAGAATAGAGGAGAGAGAATATACAATTCTTTGGTATTTTCCAAATTATTGTTTTAAATGCATGACTGTCTGTAGCTGTTTCTAACGATCAATATATATATATATATATATAATATTCATAACAATATAATTTACATTAATAATAACCAGGAATTTTGTACATATAATAAGTACATAAGGGAATCTATCTACATACTGTATATAAGGGATACATTTAAAAATATGCGAGGGATAGTCGAAAAAGCAAAATGAATTTCATGTGTATAAATTCTTTTATATGTAACAATACATCAATAGGTTAATGAATAGGTATTAAAAATAAATATGCTTTAAGTAAGAAACTACTTCTAAGTGGAACCTGAATTTTTTTTGTGTGTTAAATTACAATTATTCCAAGCCAAGTTATTATTAGAGGAAATCGGAATAGCGGTGCAGAGAACTATATGCTGGTGCGCTTATTGACTGTTTGCCTAAGTAAAGGGAATTTTGAAGTTATAGAACGATGAATATTATCATTATTGCCTCTCAGTAAAATATCGGCGTTGTCAAATATAATTTCTTCAAGAATAAACAGAGGACAAAAAAAAAAGAATATTTGATAAATATACTCGTACTAATAAATAATAAATCAAGAAAAGTAAGAAATAAAATATTGTAATAACTGATGAAAATATATTATTTCATTTTATTAAAATAGAAGAAATAAATATTATATATAATATATATAAATTCTGTGTACAAATTAATGTACTAATGTTATGTCAACACTAAAATATAGCCGTTATGTATATTATGTTGACATGAAATCAGTACACTGAAAACCTATGTATGTATTTGTTATGGAATAAGACATTTATTTATCGATATACAAATAATATATTCAGTCATAAATTGTTCCCTATCTTGTTTACAGTACAAAACGTTGTTTGAGACATAAGCAATTATTTCATCATCACATGATTTATATTATTTCACTCCAATATTACACTGTCATCTACTTTTGCACCACAACTCGACTTTTGATGCAAATCGTTAAAAGCTATGTAACACCAACAAAATTAGAGTTTGGCTTCAATTCTAATGTACACTTTAGATCATTAAACTGCATTATTTATATCCTACACCACGTGGAGTTACTTTCATTTATCCGATTCTGTCGAGCAACCTGATGCTGAGCTAGGGCCTGAAAATTAATAATATATAAATATATATATGTATACGAGTATTTACGTCTATGCTATTTACAATGTGTGATTCATATATATAAGAAAAAAATATTAATGGCGGACTTTATCAACGTAATAGAAATTCTAAAAATATTATTAGAATTTTTGTATGTTTCTCTATGAGTTTGTGCGCGCTAATCTCAGAAAGGCGCCCTTTCTGAGATTAGCGATGTGTGTGCAGTTTTGTTGCAAAATCCAATGTTTATTCTATTCCATTCCATTTCATTTATTGGTTTACGAACAAAACAGCTATTGGGATACGTAGTCAGGTCCTGTTCAGCTAGTGTTTATTACACTATAAAAAAGTTGAGAGTTTGTACCTCAGAAACTGAAGTATACAAGTTGAAATTATGGGCATGGTGGAGGTCACATCATAACGGTTGTCTGTTATGCTGTTCATGCATATAGGTGACGATTGCAACTTGCCATCACATACATGGGTCCTCAGGTTGTCTATAATTCCAGTTATAATAAAAAGTTTGTTTGCCATTCCATATACAAAAAATATAGATTTTTTTCCTCAAATATTTAACTTTTTATTCATGTAGCATACTACATAATGGAATCATACCAGAATGCCTGGAATATCTGCGGCGACGGCGAGGATTTCGCGTAGGACTATCTGAGTTATACTCTGTTTCGGTGTCAGGAGGCGCGTTTCGTGTTCGCGAACCTCGCCCTTCGTCGTACCTGCAACAAGATCGTTATAGCAAATTAACTTCATTTCTATAAAAATAAAATTATAAAGAAAGATTAGTAATATTCTTCATCTTCTTCTTTGACTGATTTTAATATAATATGGCTTGCATTATATTCATAATAGCATTCCTGTGAAATTGGGCACACTAGTTTTAGATACTGCTTGAAAGTGGATAGTAAAATCAATTCCATTAAAGTAAATTGAAATATTTATAGAACTCCTAAGGAGGTTTAGTGATCAGAAAATATTAAGAACTTGGATAAAAAATAGTAAATTTTATTTTCCCATACAAACTCTTCTTACGTGTCAAACAGGTGTGTTCAGAAACTTATTGCGTAAGTAAACTTAAAAAACCTTTGCCATTCTTTAATTCTGAGGCGAAACGAAGTTGGCGGGGTCAGCTAGTTTAAAATAAAGTTTAGCTACGTGTGATGCAAGAATGAATTTGGTGACGTGTTACGAGAATTTAGTAGTTCATTACAGATAAAACAAAAATAAAGATCCACGGTCGGTGTAATAATAACAATGACTGGTTTAAAATGTAATTTTGCATATTATTACATTTGTTTAACATGTGGATCAAGTCTTATATTTGTATACAAAAGATATTACAACAATAATTATTAAGTAGCATGTTTATTTTGATATCTATTTTAGATTCATAAACACATACTTCACGTTACAGTCTCGGGGGTTTTTTTAGTCACCCCCTTATTTCCGATGCTCGCGGGTTCGTTTACTCCCACGGTGCAAACATTTTTATTCATGGGAATGATTGTTTTTCTTATCTGGGTGTTTTATTTTTTATTATCTCAGTTGGGGTAGTGAAAAGTAGAAATGTTGACGTCGTGGTCACAGTTCGAATTCAACGAGGTAGTGGCGACCTATAGCTATCCCACGGATTTAATTGTTTTGTTTTCAGTGTTTTCCATGAATAGAATATTAGTTAGAAATTTAAATTGTCAGTTTCTCTCATTAAGGTACATGCCTGTTTAATTTTGTTATATTATTAATTAATCCAATTGTATTATTTATTATGTCTTCTTGTTAAAAGAACAATTATTAATATTTTATGGAACATAAATAATTCTTATTCATATCATAGGTATACTATACATTAATCATCATATACATAAATTACAACAAAAATATTGGTTCTAAGCAAGGTTAGAAGTTATCGAATATGTTGACATATACATTAACGTCACATTTGTAAAGATTAAATGGTTATCACAAAGTGGGCAATGCTACCACATAATATAATTAGTTACTGTATAATCATCTAATATTGTATCATCTTTAAATAAACAACAAGTTTATTATTAAGTGTAAATTGTATATAGTAACAATATTTATACAATCAGAGATACGTGAGACGAACTTCCTAACATTGTAGGATTTCACCGTGTTCCCTCCCACACGGGTCGTATTCTATCTCGCCGGGTCTATCTCGTATTTCTCTCACTGCCCAGCCAAATATGGTAGGAGCCCGCTAATGCAGTTTTATTAAAAACTTACTGCAGGTTGGCCAATATCTTTTAGAAGATTGTAGAGAGATTTCGCTAAAATATATATAGGTAATATAACACATATATTACTTTTTTACTAGTAGCTTTGATTGGATTTCCTTGGTTTGGAATTGGAGTGACGTAAGATGTTAAAGGTCCACCTTTACCTATACCTAATAAGTGCATATATACATGCGCAGTTGTACAGCTATATAAATAACATGTGATGCCCGTGATATAACTTGCCCCTTGGATCGATCCCTCGTCGAATTGCAACGGGGATCGAAATTACGACGGCTGAACCGAGGTTCGAACCCCTAGCGGTACCCTCAGATTGAGGTCGTATCGGTCAGGCGGGAGTTGGCCTTAAGCCGCTCCATAAGTCCCTAAGCGCGTTTGCAGTGCCATCTGCACTCGCCACCTATCGTCCGGTGAAGCCGTAAAGGCCAGCTGCGGCTAACAGCATTAGAGTAGTCAAAAAAAGTGATACCATTTATATGATGCCGTTCCGGACCATTAAGATGTAATGCCAGTACATTTCGTAATTTCACGATTTTATCTCCCTGTGATATCGGACGTGTTTTTAAGATAAAAGCGACATCTGTTCTCATGATGCAATCTATCATCTTCATATCAAATAGATCCGTTAATCTCATAGATATGAAAAGATAACAAAGACACAGATGAACAGGCAGGCTTTTGAATTTATAATATTGATGATATGGATAACAATAAATATTAGAGGATAGGGGGAAAGGGGATTGTCAGTAATGCGGACTAATGATCTCATTGCTAGCAATGTACTATGTCAGTTTAACCTCCACGCGGTTCACCCTGGAAACTATCGTGACAAAATTATGGTGAATTTACCATAATGGGCTAACTGACCTCACCTTATGCTCATCTTATCGTCGTCCACTGGTGTTCCGCCAGCCTAAACCGTGCGGGTGCACCATTCCATTATCATAATATTAGACTTAGAGGATAGAATAGTCTAGAAGGATATGGTAGTGTTACCTATCCCTGGATCGCCGCCTGGACCGTGGTGAGTATTGCGAGCGTCGGGAGCGCGGCGAGTAGTGGCTGCCGGCTGAGTATCGTTCTCTCTCCGGCGAGTAGCGGCTCTCTGGTGAGTAGCGGCTCTCAGGCGAGTAGCGGCTTTCAGGCGAGTAACGACGATCACTATATCTACAGATTTAATTGGAACATGAACTCACTTTAAGACACCCCTTTTATTCAAAGGGTAATGTTTCGATTTTGTTCTGATAGTCTATTTAAAATATATTTCCATATGGATAATTAGATTAATATGAATTGATCAAATATGACTGAACTGAAATGAAATGGAATTTATTTAAAAAACACGACATACTTAATAATAATATAACATATATCTTCACTTCATTACAATCACTGTGTGAATATCTCACAATCTGTCAATTACAAAATACTTAATAACAATATAATACCAACTAAGCAGAGCTTGTCTGCGGGTGCTAGATAACTGATACAATTAAATAGTTTTTTGTAAATCTATCATTCTGCAAATAGAAAAGACTAAGACCAGCACAGATAATCATATTCATGAATACAATGTTTGGATAGTACAAAGAATAGATCTCGCGAATTTCGTATGTACATGAACATCGGAGCAATCGTAAAGTGGGGTGTAAGAATATAAAACGAATCTCAAATTTATAATTTTGTTATTAGAAAATAGATGTTACGCCAAAAATAGCCATCGATGACCATAGACAAAGTGGAGAAAAATGCTGTAGTCACTATGTATGCTACTGGAACCAACAACAATTAAAGTAAGTTCAGCAATAAACTGTACAATTATTTTAAAGATTAGTCACACTTGTATTCATTACATTAGAGGAAAAACATGAAATAAGTTAATTCTGGTATAATTATATAAAAACTCAGCTGATTACCTAGGCGGGTGTGGTGATGGTAGCCTTCCTAGCGGCGGCGGTCGTGGTAATGGTGGCAATAAGGGCGGTGGTAGAAATGCGATGGGCAACGGCGGTGGCACAACTGTGTTCTCAGCACTCTCCAATGGAGACGCCACTTCTGTCAAGAAAGAATTTATTTAACTTAAAATAAATTACCATAGCATGAACAAGATGTAACAAAGGCATGAATCAATTCATTGTTGTTTTGCAATTTGCCATATGTGCAGGCAAAGATTTATAGAGACTTTGTCGTCAATACAATGTGACATGATAGCGACGGTACACAACTCCCTTCGGACAGTAGTCTTCCTTGCTGCTATTTTAAATAATTGTTATACACTTCACTTATGTTGTATTAATTTAGTTTTATTAATTGCCTTTTATTATTCCAAAAGAGTTAAACATATATGTAAAATTATATAAACGTTAAAAATTTATCTAATAGTTTTTGGTTTAATAATTACTAATGACTAATAATTCGTAATTTGAAAAGCTATGTTTAGCAATAACTTTCCGTTGTGTTATGATGATGACATGACATATAGAGATTAATAATGCATTATCTATAACATTCTAATAACATTATCTATAATATTAAACATAAAAACAGATTATTTCGTAGTAACAGTATCTATTCCGATATAGTAAGAGCGTGATACTTATGATAAAGAGTATTTGAGTTTTTTTAATGGATGAATGTACATGTTTTGGGTACCAGTGTACTATGGTAAGGTGAGAATTAAGTCAAATCTGTTAGTATGGTTTGAAGAACAATGGGCAAATTATTCCTCCTGCACTCCAGCTTAAGAGGTAGTCCAGTGACGTCATGCTTAGAGGCGTATTACGGTAAATATATGGTACTAACTGTGATGTGGGGAGGAAGCGCCGTTTGCGGACAGTGAGGCGAGCTTGCGACGAAGCGTGGCGGCCTCGTCCTTCGCTGCGTCGGCCTCGCGGCGGGCGCCTCGAGCCTCCAACCACGCTGAGTGAGCGCGAGCTTCCACTTCACCGACGGCCGTACGACGCATAGACTCCTGCTCCGCCAATTCTAATGTTAACGCGTCACATTTCTCCCTGTTTAAAAAAAAGGATTGAAAGTCTAATTTTTTTATAGCTTATTATAGACTAGTAAATTTACAACAAAAAACTTTTAAGTGTATATTAGTTTGTATGTGTATAATACTTATTCTGAAAAGTACTGAGATTCCAGTGAAAGAAACGCTGTTAATGAACCATATTCATCAGATAGACCATAATAGGCTTGCCACCGTTTGTCATTGCATTCAAATATGCCCAGTTGAGAAATGTGAGGGTTTATATGCTCAAATGTGAGGGTATATGTATTGTGATTATCACGACGTCGAGAGTCTAGGCTAACGGTCCTGTTATATTATTCCTATATTATTTCTTCTCAATTGGATATATACATATACTGAACTGGATGGTAGGGAAAATATAAAAAAAATTATTCGTAAGCGGCTAAAACGTCCTATATGAATAAATGATTTTTGCATTTAAATTTTAACTAAAAAGCTCTTGGTCACAAAAAATTCTACTCACTTAAACCTCTGTACTTCTTGTTGCAGAAGTTCTATTTTTTCTACGGTGCTAGCTGATTCGCCTTGTTTGCTGAGCCATAGTGATTCTTTGCTGTTGAGTTCTCTGCAGAAATTGTATATTTAATTACAAAAGTAGGTAATACTTATTTTATTCAAAAAGCAAGCAAAATTCAATCATAGCGCGCTCTATTAGTGCTAGATAAGTACTCTTTTAATTTCATTTGCAGAACATTCTTTACAAACTAATATATTAATTCTAACCAGTGCAAATAAAAGTAAAAATATATCAAATATAAAAATTAAAACACACAAATATGTGTATACAGATAATGGTAAATTTAAAATTATATTCATAGTTCAGTTTTATTTTTACTGAATTAATAACTAATTAATTTATCACTTTTTAATAGGTCTATTGATAAAGTATCCTATGAAATATATAAGAAAGTTTTTGTATCTTACTTTACTAGTTCATTTTCCCTTTCTTGGAAATATTTTCCAAGAACCTCCAACCTCGTAGTAGCTTCTGTGGCTTGCTGACTAGTAGTAACCAAAGACAGTTGAGTTGTCTCCAGCTCTTTAGCGAGACGACTACGCTCTTTGTGCTCACTCTATAAAAATATTGGAAAATAATTAACTTTTAATTAATATATTTCAATTTTCATTAGATTTCGAAGCATTTAGTTTTTCAAAGAGGGAACAGAAGGCATAAATTTAATAGGTAATAGTGAGTTTTTAAGGTTGTTATAATCCTATAACCTAGCTTGTCAGGTATGGATAGGGAGCATCTGGATCATTCAGGATTTCGAGTAGTTTAAGTTTGTAGAAAATTTTATTAAATTGATTCAGCATGATTATAAAATATACTTTTATATTAAATTTTTGATTAGCAAATTAGTATACAAGAAGTAGTAGTAGCAATTAGGAACTGCACTATTATAAATATTCATAAAATTTTGAATGCCTACAGTATTTTTGGCATATAAAACATATGCCTATATGCCTTTTATATTCACAGGTACTGTGAGGACTTCAATAAATAAAAAATAACTAAGAAAATACTAATTTAAAAAAAAGTGACAGACATAATGCAATATTAATTTTGTAAGGAAAGAAATATATAATTAGACTTTTTTATGCTTTATTATTACTATCTTTCAAAGCCGAAGAACATGTAAAATTGATTTAAAAGCAGTCATCTGCGAGTAATTTATTGGACTTATTTTGTGTGCATGTAAAGCCATATTAGGGATACTAATGCATGCTAAATGCATCTCTCGAGATGCAAGACATCGATTTTATCACGTATATTTTATGGTAGGCCCGATGGTGTATATATTCGTGAAAAATAGGCAACATCGTTTATGGTATCTATTTATTTTAAATTACAGTAGAGAGGAATGATTAAAAAAGGAAATAGATAATTGTAGATAATAACGTTATCATACTTAATTGTTATTGCATTGAATGTGATTTTATGATACTGATTAATATAAAAATTCAAATATACAAATAATAATTATTATTCGGATTTTTTAATCCAATTGTCAGACAAGCTGACCACTTGATACCAAGCGGTAACCATTTTCTATATACAAGAATAGCACATCACATTATCGTTTATAACCATATATTATTTTGTATTGACCATCCATAATACCACTTATGCATTGCCATTCGAGACGACTAAGATGTCATGCCGCCTATCCAGTAATTTCACTACATAAACTGCATCACACAATCGAACCACAGCTTACAAAGGAAGCTGCTTGGCAGATGAAATAGGTTGCTCTGAGGGTACCTCAGAGCAACCTATTTCAGATCTCAGATGATTCTTTTAGTCTACTTCTTGTAGTATCTAGTAATAATAACCAGGAGCCATCAAAAGCACAGCAGTGATAAAAATGTATATTTATTTATGTATAATATTATATTGTGAAATTTATTCTTTTTTTTAGCTAAATAATACTTACAGGTAGTGCTAAGCTAATTGTAGCTTAGCATTACCTGTAGGTATTATTTAGCATCATGATTGCATGATTCTCTGAATTTTATTCCCAAACTTAATTAAGCAAATAAATAAATTATATTTAAATACAGGATTTTGTATACATCTTTATTACTTAAATACTAATTTAGCTGAAACACTGCAATTGTAAATGGGAATTTTTTTAAGAGACCCATTTGAATGCTTTAGCCATTACTTGTGTCTATTTATATTATACATTATAGTGTATATTTACACATTTATATTCTGTGCTTACGATTGCAATCCCAGATATAGTACTAAGTAAATGATATTATATCACGGTTGATCTTATTACTTATCAATATTAATAACAATTTAATTACCATTTATGTATATGCAGGTTATATTATTACAATAGAAATATACATTAAAATGTTACCTGATACTTATTTTCAAAGCTCTCTTTCTCTGCCAAAGTTTTGGCTAACTTGGCTTTGATTTCAGTATGGTCGATGAGTGAGGAAATATCAATATCGGATGAAGCTCCACTCTTCAAATTGTTCAAAGCATCCTGTAATTTACATAATAATATATTTTATAAAGAAGTACTTCCTTTAAAAAATATTTCAAATAATATGAATGGTACAGTAATATTTAGTACAACAAAGAAAAATTACTATCTAATTCAACATTCATGTCTCCATATTAGTTACCTGACCTTAATGCATTTGTATGAGATCATTGAATCTTAAATATCAGTTACCACAATTTCCACCTTTATTTTATTTTAATTTCTAATTAACTGAAATACAGTCATAAAAAGCATCTCTTAACAGACTTCCTGTCTGTTAAGAGATGCATTTTATACTATGATGGAATTATAATTATCAAAATTTTTAGAGAAAAACTATAAATCAATATATGAACCAAATTTGACAGGTTTATGTGAAAGAGTTTTTGAGTTATGAGGGGGTCCAAATGGTTCATGTAAAACTACACACAGTGCTGCCCACCAGTTCTATTACTTGAACTCGGCTTTGACACGCTCCCGCATGTCTAGATAAACAAAATATTACATACCTTAAGTGCAGTGATTTCATGTTTCTGCAGTTCAATTGTGTTATTTGCATCTGACAATTTTTGTGTGTATTCTTCTAGTACTTTCTTTTGTTTTTTTGATTCCTCTAAAGCAGCTTCAGCTGATACATACTTCAATTGGAAGTTGTCTCTGTCACGACTGATTGTAATTAATTCTTCTTCAAAGGCTTCAATTTTACCTGAATTGATGTTATTAAAATAATAATTATTAAAAAATGGGAAAAGCTTCTATTCATTGCAGTATTTTAAAAAATCAATACATAAATATTGAACAAAAGAACAGATGTATTTATACAAGTTAAATAATATAAACAAATTATAAATAAATACTTGTTTCTAAATATCTAATGAAAACTAAGAAAATGATTACCATTTAAGGCAGCAATGTGGTCTTCAGAACTGTTTCTCTCAGATAAGAGTTCACTAAGAGTATTTTCAACTTCACTCAGTGTAGTTTGTAATTCACCTGCAGTATTCTCAGATACCCTTAGCAATTTTTCATTATCATCCAGAGAGTTTCTAAGTCTTTCATTTTGAGCTTTCAATTCATTTATTTCTTCTTTAAGAGACTGTACCATGTCATCCATTCCAAAGGAATTATCTTCAATACCAGCCAATTTTGTTTTAGTTGTTGAAAGTTCTTCTTTTAGTATTTCACCCTCCTATGAAAATTAAAAATGTTGGACAACCTTTGCTCCATAAATTATAGGAGAGGCATTCAGCCATTGTAGGAGACTTAATAAATACAGTACAATTGTCACAGTTTTATCAAAATTAATTTATAATATGCATGTATAAGTTGGTCTATATAAGGGAAATTAATTAATCACGGAAGGTACATCTATGATTCTTTGATTTAAGAATCTTCAGTAATTTTTTTAACTTTCTTTCTAAGTTACTAACTTATTATTGTGATAATTAGTAAAAATATGAATATTTTCATTGAAACAAATTACAAGACTAATGGTAAGTAAAAAGATAATTAGTTATTATAAACTTATTTTAAAACTTTGTAAATATTTACCTTATTAGAAAAAAGTAGATCCCTTTGCAATGAATTGATGGTGCCAATCAGTTGACTGTCTTGTCTCTTATTGTCAATGTAGTAATACCCTAATGTGAACAACAAGACAGAAGTAGCGGTCGTGAGGAGGAAAGTCAGGAGCCGATTACTCTGGTCATTGCTTGCACCATCACAGTATTCATTTGTGTAGCATGTTTCTCCTTAAAATAAGATAATAAATATATAAGTAACTTTTTTTACAATGTGTTAAATTTTATGTCCTGTATTGTGGGTCTAACCTTACCAATTACTAGAACAACACATTAAGAAGGTAGTTATAATTCCACAACATAGCTTGTGTGCATGTTCCAGATTAAAAGCTAAGGTATGGCTGTGAAATTATCAGGTATAGAAGTAATTTGGTTTTCATAAAGAACATTTTAGGTATAAGGGCTACCATTGGATTTTTTGTAAAGTCTAGAAAGTAAATGTGTAATTTACATAATTATGTGATTCAGAGATTTATAAAGTACCTATTGCAGATAATCAACTGTTTAGTGATTTACTTACCAATTGAAGCAAATATAGCTTGAGTTTCATCATTAGACCCTATAACAGATTTATATTTTGCCACAAGAAAATCCATAAAAGAAAATTGTTTATCTGTTTCTATATTTTCGAAATCAGGTGGAGTATCCACATTGTATATACTTTCTAAAGGTGAAGACTCTTTTGTAGATGCCCAGAGACCAGCTATGGAAGAATATATACTGGAAAATATACCATCTGTGTTATCATCTGGGGGAACTACAGTTTCTGTTGTTGTTTCAGAATTAATATCTTCAATAGGTGGTGTGGTAGTTTCATAGTTATCTTCACTTGAAGGTGGTGTGGTAGTTTCATATTTATCTTCACTTGAAGGTGATGTGCTGAATTCATAAAACTCTTCTAAAGGGACAGATTGACTTGTGGAAGTACTGTAATCATTATCTGTGGGAACTTCACTACTGTCAATGGAAGACATAGTGTTGGAATCAATAAATAATTGGCTAAATGTATCCATTGTTTGTTCTGTAGATGTTTGAACTGATTCTGTAGAGTATTCATTCATTGTACTTTCTGTTGATGTTAAAATATTGCTGTTATCAGTAGACACTGGTGGTTCCACATTTAAGACAGGTGGTTGTTCCACATTCTCAACAGATGGTAATGGCAAATATGGAGGTGGCAACTCTACATTTAGATTAGTTGGTATGTTTACATTTGAATCAGGTGGTGGATTTATATTTAAATTAGGTGGTGATTCCACAGTTGGAACAGGTTGTGATTCCACAGTAGGAACATGTGTTGATTCCGAATTAGGACCAGTTGTTGAATCCAAATTTAGATTTGATGCTAATTCCGTACTCAGAATGGAAGCTGATTCTAAATTTGAATTTTCAACAGTTTGTGTGTCCACATCATGTGGAACAGGTTGCAGTGGATCAATATAACCACCATTCATATTTTCTACATTGCCATCTATATTATTATATGGGTTCTGTGCCAAATTGTTATCATGTTGGTTAGCATTTGGAGTATGTTCAACATCACCTGAATTTATAGGGTTTCCTATATTATTAGTTTCACTAGAAGTATCAAGAGACAATAGATTATTCTCAATGTTGTTCAAAGGCAAAGGTGTTGAAGTATTTTGTTCATTATCGTCTGTTGTAGGAGCAAGGGTATTTTTCAACAAATCTACATTATCAGGCACATCCACAATATTCATAGAAGACTCACTTTCAGCGGATGTTAGGAATGATTGAGGCAAAGAAGTTTCCTCTGGAATTTTCTTATTAGGAAGTTCATTGATAAATTGTTGTGTATTTAAATTTTCAATTGCATTGTTGGTTTCAACAGCGTTTTTTCCTTCTGTACTCTGTGAACTGTCACTTTCTAAAACATTACTATTTTCAGTATTACTAATATCTGAATGGCTTGAAGTTTCTTGTTCCACAGGAATATCTTGTGAAACATCTTGATTATTACTTAACACATTTATTGCTGGGTCAGGAATATTTTGGACTATTGTACTCACATGTTCTGATGGTACTTCATTTATATTAAGTAAAGGTGGAATCCCATTATCACTGGTTACAGTTGATGCTTCAGTTGTACTATCTTGATATGCTGAACTTACAGTTGTTTCCGTTGTATATATGGTTGTGCCTTCGAAAACCTCATGTGGTTGTTGCACTTTGTCTGGCTGCACTTCCGGCGTTTTCTTCCTAATTTCTAGTGGCAGCTGAAGTAATTCCGATGACTTCACGAATATTTTGCTCTCTCGTAAGAACTGTGGGTTAACGAAACCATTTTTTCCATTGATACTTGCGTACCACAGTTCAGGATCGGCACCAGCTGATTTCATGTACACCAATACATCCGAGTTCCCACGGAAAGATATAAATCCACTTTCACCACTATTATAACTTAATAGTGTCTTTGCTTTCGATATAGGGGCTGAAATAAATAAAAACAGACTGTAGAATAATATTAGCACTCAAAACAGATTGTCACCTTTTGAAAGATAACTTACATGAACAATCTTGATTAACACAATAAACTTTGTCGGGTAAACGACAATGGTATAAAGAGGTACATAACATAATTAAAATTATTTTAAACACAATCATTTTGGCATTATATTTTATTATTTACTTTTATAAAATTTATGAAATATTAAAGATTAGGCCACATCATCTGTCACTTTCGGTCGGTCGCTCGCTCGTTCGTTCTGTTTCACGCAGTGAGGTGTTTCATCAAAGTAGTCGTAAGTTTATAATGTATTTACAAAGTTCGACACTTTTTACATTTATTATAAACACATATAATTACGTTGTATATTTATAATTTCGCTTAAGATAAAATAAACTCATATTATTCTATTTTCTTATACTTCCTGATTTAAATCGTCGATTGGAATGATGCGGGTCAGACTATTCTAAGAACTACGGAACGTTTAGTAGAGGGTACGGTTCAGTGTTGTCACATTATTAGATTCGCCACTGAACCTAGTGGATTTGACCATCCATTATGTGGCTTAAAATATTTTTACTAGAAAAAATAATTTTGTGGGCAAATATTGAACAGCGGAATGCATATTTTATACATATTTTATTATCGGGAAGCCTATAAAATATAAAGATAGGTTTTGTAAAAGCGTAGAAAAGTATATCAATTATTAGTAAACAAAACTAAATATTGTAATAATTTTGAAAGGTACCTAATAAGGGTTTTTGGAAACATTAAAATATTTCGATATAAATTGAATTTCACAATGGTTATTGTAATTTCATTGCAGTAAAGACAGATTGAACTACATATTTTTGTCATAAATTATCCATTATTACAATATTTTTTTTTATTAAGCTGGCTTTTATACGAATGGTTAGTGATTTTTTCTGGTTTTTAGTGTTTGCATTGTGGGCTCCCCCAAATATTTTCGGCAATCCTGGTAGAGTTGCCATGCTAAACCACACTGTAATATCAATTTAGGTAACTGATTGAGCATCTAATCGGTACTTACTGGTATCGTATGCTTTCTTCTCTACAATGTATTATTTGTTTATAGAAATAAAAAAGTAAGGTCAGTACTTATTAAACTAAACTGTGAATTACACGTCATACCATGTGGTACATTCATATGAATTAAGCAGATGATACACACAAGGCGTTTATTGAAATTTAGAAAAATTAGGAAAATAATTAAATCCTTGGAAAGAAAACCAGATGAATTAAAATTTATAGCTATACCTATACATTTATAGTTTTTTCTTATTATTATATCTCAAAACATGTTATTGTGACGTAAAAAAATCGAGAGTATGGACGTAATTAATTTTGACTAATTTAAATAGGCTGGACTGACCCAAATGCTCTTACAGACATGCATTTGAATGAAATATAAAATTAGGAATCAAGCCCTTTCTATTGTGTCTTTAATTAATCTTTTATGCTAACTGACATCACCAATGAATAAGTCCGAGAATTTTATTGGGAATAAAAATACTTTATTTAACAGTATAATTTTTGTGTATTTCCAACCATATTTGATTGTTGTTGTTGTTTTAAAATTCGTCCAATTTGGACAGGCGAAGAGCATTGCCCATACTGCCTAGTCAGTAGTTACATTAATCTTCAGTATATAAATCGTTTTATGTCTTTCGTAGAATATTCAAGCTATTCTTGACTGCTTCAGTCAAGTTATTTCTTAAGTAGAATATCCGAAATAATTTTCTCACGTAATCCATATAATTGGTCACCACCATATTTGATTCAAGAATAAACATATTTTCTTTTTATAAGTACATGGCAACGGAATAACCATATACAGCCTAAACATACCGCCCACCATAGACGCACTGATGTGTCCATACTCTAATGACAAACAGATAATTTATTATACAACAAATATAATATATTAATCAGAACCCAAAGATCATTCATTAGCTTACCAATATTACATTTATATATTACATTACTTAAAACAGTTGTATAATTTTATTAACAACAAACATGAAATGAAAACCTTAGATATGTATGCCTATTTGTCATTCATTATTTCATACCTATTTGAATGCACAACTTAGATTTTGTCCCGATTAATATAATCCATGCAGACCCGAATGAACTATTTTTTACATTAAATATAAATTTCTATAATTTCTGCAGATCTTTGTTCGTGTTTTGTCCTATACACCTACACATAGTGGTAGATACTGGCCATACAAAATGTCACGAAGAAAGAATAAGCACCACAAGAAAAAATAAAATGTATACACAGACGTCCATTTACAAAATAAATTAATTTAAAATAAATGGACATGAATTCTCACATTTCACTAATAGACTTGTCTAAACAATTCCCATTTGAAATAGGTAAGATAATATATTTGTTGATTTTTATAAAGAAGTTACCTATCTGGTAGGTATGTAAATATCATAAAAGGTCATCAAAAGCTCAAGTATCTCAGCTAAAAGCTCAGTATCAAAGCTGTTTCAAAATGCTTGTAGTAATCTATATATATACATTTTTTTAAATATATATTTCATTAGATGGACATAGAAGATAGTGCCTACTTTAATATTTTTTTTAATTTGAAGAATGGATTTTTGGAAAAGGTAAAACTGATGTGCCTTTCGGGTATCTTTTAAGAAAGTGGGTGCAATTGTACCGGCAATTACTTAGGTAAAATTAAATAGGTACCTACTAAGTAGAAGAGAAGTGTCGGTATATACAATATTACTATTGTATATATCTGTATGTAAGGTTTGATTCTTCAGTGAAACATAACTTCAAATTCGTGTTTGTCATATTTGACCTATTTATTCAGAAGTACATACATATGGCGAATTAATCATAGAATAGCAATACTGTGTCACCATTATTGTGGTAGGAATATATCATAGTACTCGTATGATTTTATGCTCTTAATTAGCTTGGAATTTGGCGAAGTTAAGGATCGGTCGCCCTGCCAATTTCCATTAAATCTGTTAGTTAGGCCAATCAAAAACGATAAGTCTCTAGAGAGTAACTTTGCACAAAGTCGTCTGCGTGATGTCTCACCTATTAAACCTGCCATCAAGCTCATTTGTTACCTATTAAGTGGCTCCAGTTTGTAAGGTGAGATATGGCAGTGAATATACTAGGTATATTTTATAAATATTCGAGTTCGTTGGAGAAAGATAATATGACGCATAGCTGATAGATTAGGTATATACTTACATATACCTATTCGTATTTTTTTACATAGATAACCGATTGAAGGATGAAATATGTTTCGGTGAAACACTGATTATAAGTTGTGGTCATTATGATGGCGATATTGCTGAGGACTTATCAGACTCGGAATGGTCATGTGAGGGGAGTGCAGAAAGTGAAATTAATATCGTAGCAAAAGATGACACAGTATTGGAAATTAAAGATGGCGTGATGGTAAAAGCGGTGGACGAACAAATTGTCGAAGAAGAGAATAATTTCCAATTCTATTTTTTTCCTGCTTGTAATAAACCTATATCTCCCAAGGACAGCAAAGCAAGTTTAATTATTGTGAATGGGCTACCGCAAATAAATACTACTAAGAAAAATCAAATATACTGCACATGTAAAGTAGACAAAAAAGGAAAATGCGAATGTCATATAAAATTACCTTGTGAATGTGGAGCTAAAACTGTTGAAGAGTGTGTTTGTTCGAAATTGGATAAAATCTGTATCTGTCATAACGGAAAGCCACAAACATCATGTATTTGCAAAGGTAGTGACGTGTGCGTGTGCCATCCTGATGGTCACAATCAGCCAATATGTGTTTGCGATAATATTGATAAACCGTGTGTATGTTATCCAGGTAAATTTCCAAATTCTGTTTGTATATGTAAACATAAACCTAAATATATTGTGGATATGAAATCAGTTACTGGAGAGGAGGAAAATCAAACAGAGAAACAGGGTGTAGGGAACGATGTTAAAGACGAAGAACCTTGTGATTGTCAGAATTGTCAGAATTGTAAAACAGAGGACTCAAAATCGATTTGTAGCTGTCCTATTCTACCTGAGTGCAATTGCGATGTAAAATCACTGGGAGAATGTACATGTTTTCCAAAACCACTTTGCACATGTGGTGATCCAGGTAAGTGTAAATGTTTTGTTATTTGTGAATGTATAGCTCCTTGCATATGTGACACAAAGAAAGTCGATATAGAATGCATTTGTCTCGACAAAACTGAAGAGGAGGCTACTTTCACCTGTCCACATAAAAAAGAGATATCAAATAAAATAAAAAGAGTAAGAGATGGGAAATATGGTTATAGATGGTGCCACGACGTTGATCCACGTCACACTTATTTTGATTACGGATATGGTAGACATGATGAAATTTCATATAAATTTCAAGAACAAGAGAAACTGAAAATATTAGGTCTTTATGAAGAAAATAAAGAAGAGGTTTCTTCGTCTCATGAAATACGGGTTCCAGCGTATGAAAAGAAAACTAGAAAAGCTTCTGTTGATTGCTGCAGTGCTGTTGGAGGTAATGTTTTATTTTACAATCTCTTTAGTAATTGATATTATACATGTATGTATGTATGCTACGTGAATAGACAGGCTCCTGAGTGACGCGTAATACTACATTTTCAGGAATAAGCATCTCAGTAGAAGTACTTGGTGAAGACAAAGATAAGTTTTTGGTACAAGTGGTATCTCATTCTTCAAAGGAAGGAGCGAAAACAGGATCAAAGCTCGTTAGCATTTTAGACTGTAATCTTCACACGATGGAGGAAAACAGAACTGAGTAAAGATTTTAATTACATACATTAAATTATGTGGTATCCGTAATATTTATAGTTAGAATATATATAATTAAATATATATCTACTTAAAAAAATATAAAATGTATATATTCTAAATTGAAATATATTATTTGAGATTGTCGTGACTTAGTGGTTTTGTTTTTTATGTAGGTATTTAAGTATTTTTATTTTTACTATTATTTTAGTTTGTCTATTTCTAATTATCTGGTAGTTGAATTTCGTCGCTCTTCAAAAAATAAGATTGAGAGTGATCGTAGTGTAGATACGGTTTAGGTATCAATTATATTACGAATATATTATAAACATAGGCATTGTTATTATGCTTTCTACTAGCACTTATGTATGTAGGTATATTCTTTCATCTTATTGTTTTATCGATTGAAAATTATAAATATATCTAACTCCAAAGATAAGTTTTAAGCATTACGGCTTAACCCAATATACCTCAATCAGATGTTTTTGTAGTTTACTGTTTCAATTATTGCAATAATTGTTATTTAAATTGAATTATCGAAATTATAATATTGTAGACATATTACAAAAAAGAACATAACTAAGGAGCGTCGAAATTACATGACAATATGCGAAAGTGGTTATTACAACAAAGTAACTCGCATTTGTGGGGAGCGACATATTGTTAAGCGCTTTTATCATACTTTTGAAGAAGCTCATGATTTCTTACTTGAAGGTGCTAATGTGGTAATTCTAAGATACTTCGGTCTACGGCGCTATAGGGGAAACATCAAAACTGCAACTGTTTTGATGGATGGGACCTTATGCGAGAGTATATATGTAAGTAAAATTAAAATAATTAGTAAAATAATGTTTTTTAGATGTGTATACTCTGTTTAAACAGTACATATTTTATGAATGAATAGGTACCTACAACGTTGTCAGCATGGTAATTTTTGTTAAATGCGGGAAGTATCCCAGTTGTCACTAATAAACATAATATTAATGTGTATGTAAATAGGTTCTCACTATGTGATTTAACGCCTTTAATAAGATCTCCCATCTGTTATAACTTTTAAACCATATAATATGAAGGTTTTGAACAAGTAGTAGTAGTAGTAGTCCTTCAGACCTTGTAGTAGTAGTAGTACCTAATTAATATTCTTTATTAATAGTTTTTATTTAAAAAGTAACAAGATTTTGACGTGACTCTTACGTGACTGCTGTGATGAGTTTCTGAGACTAACAGACACGATATTACCTAGATTTTCATCTACATTCCATTTATAAATTACTAGCTACTCGCCCCGGTTTCGCACGGGTGTACATGTATTATATATATAAACCTTCCAATTGAATCACTCTGCCTATTAAAAAAAACCGCTTCAAAATCCGTTGCGTAGTTTTAAAGATTTACGCATATATATAGGGACAGACAGCGACAGCGACTTTGTTTTATACTATGTAATGAACTGGAATGTAGAAAAGTTTTTACACGTTGTATGAAAATATAAAATTGATGTAGTCGGGTGTATAATTACTACATTATATTAAACAACTATACCTGTAATTTATTCTCTAAGAAGACAAATATTATATTGTTATTAATAACTTAACTTTCAGCTGAATAATAACTAATGAATTGTTTTTTAGGTATGCCACGGTGTCAGTCAAGCTATTGTTAATAGCAAACCCCTGTTTGTTGTTAAGGTGGAACGTCACATCATAGAGCCATCTGGTTGTATTCATCAAACTCTAACTGTTCTTACACTTAGAGGTGATTTAGTTTAATTATGTTACATTTAGTTTCATTTATATTCATGTAGCAAAACTTTGTTTTAAAGTAACTAGAGATATAGGTACTATATTACTGCTGACAGTACTATAAGGCTACTGATTATAATTGTCGTCAATACGATCGCTAAAATTAAATGGTAATACGTGAATGTTTTAGTGCTAAAAAAGTCAATATTTGTGTATAAATTGTACACTCTAAATTTAATTACCGTATTTTCACTGTCTAATATGCACTCTATAACCGAAATACAGCTTAAAAAGAAAGCTATATATTGGCGGTTGAAATATATACTATTTATCTATTTGCCCCACGCAGACGATTTCTGACCGCCTACCTCTGGTAAAATAAATCTATCGCCTATCTAGATGTAAACCGATTCTTTTTCTTTTGCTCGATATGTTAATAATAATACAAGTAACATTTCAGGTTATATTGTTAGTCATGAGTGGGCAGATAATAGTTACATATTGCATTTGAATCCGCTTTTGCGGATTATTCCTGAAAAAGACGAAATTGAACAACACGCCCCACTGCGAGAAAACTGGCGTCAAGATCTTCAATTGTTGTCTGATTATTTAGACTTCAAGGTAATAAATTTATTATCTTAGAAATGTTTATGATGGCTTTTGGTACCCTAATCACATGTTTTATGCCTATAATAACCTACTTATCTTTACCTTCTATGCACTTAAAATAACATTAAACAGATATATACGAAGAATACCTAACAAGGTTCATTCTTGGTTTTCACTTTAATTTATATATTATGTATGTATTTTACTGGGTTTACCTTTCACCACAAATCTAAATTCATTACGTTAAAGAATGTTATGAGTAAAGAACTATGTTCTATGAAAGAAGCCTATATTGAGCTGCGTAAATAACTGAAACGATGATTACAAAATATAAAAATAGATTACAATGACGCGTGTTTTAACGTCAGTCCTAATTTTATAAATGATTGAAACCATCTTGTTTTTTTACATGTGACGAGTTTTTACAGACAACCTCGGTTATTTAGCGACTTAGAGCACTGCCTTCCTTTTGATGGTCATGGGTTCATTTTCGGACGATACAAACATTTGTGTTATGACTATAATTGATTGTAATTTTTACGTATATTATGTATGCATTTACAAAGAAAAATGTATTTAAGTATTTCTATGACTTATTTAGTACACATACCTGTATACAAGCTTTAGTTTAGGACTAGATGGCGATGTGTGAATTCTTTTCTATTATTACTATTAACATACTATTTTTAAATACACTAATGAAGTGTCCGTGGTTTCCTAAACTAAATTCAGCTATTCCTATTACAATGGCAACTACTTTGTTAATATGGTGGATCTCCTTTCAAATCAGAGTACTCGAACATCAGAGGGCGCCAGGTACGTAACCGAAAATGGCGCCCTGACGGAGACGGTCCGTGATTACCTGCAGGCTCTGTTACTGTTGAAACCTCACGATGCTCTCCACTTCACCAGACAATATTTCAGTGGGGTATTGTCAGCTTTGGATCTGCCTCACGACGAATATTTTGACCCTACAGCAAAGCATGTCAGATATTACTTTTTTGAGGAATAAATATATCCTGATTTCATATACGAAAATAATTTTATAGTTCCTACCATTGTTTTTGACATACAAGTATTATGAATTTTTAAATTGTTTGTACATATAAATAGTAATAGAAAAATTTACAATGATTATATTGATTCAAAATTAATTGTTTATTTTTTTCCACTCTTAAAAACGTAATAAATAGATATAGCAGATAATGCTACTCTATATATACCTCTGTTTAGTTAGAAGTTATATTTGTCGAAATATTTATTATACTCATAGTCAATTAACTATTACTTATCTATGTATATAGTAAGCAAATGAGTCAGAAAAACTATTTCATAAAACATGTTTTCTATTTTTCATCTACATAATAAGTTCCCTGCTTATGCTAGCTAATTATGTTGTTCTAAAATTACTGTTATAAATTTTTACAATCGTATAACATTGATTTCTGATACTGAAATGAAGAGAGTACGTAATACCATTAGCTATATATATTGTCACTTAATTGTTGTTGTTACTGTGTCAATATTAGGTATATGTAGTTACCATTTTTTTTATCTTACCATTGTTTAATTCATATTACAATACCTATACAGTTCTGTAAAGATTTTGTAAAATAAAATACAATGTTATAGATGTCAACTACTTCATAGTACTACTTCGTATGATGTCTTTTATATTTTTGTCTGTAAAGGACATAAGATATTAATCTCATGGGTCGTAAAGCTTGGGAACTCTTAAAAATTGAAATATTATATAGTCGTTTCGTGCAAAGAATACTTTCGTCGGAGAGTTGAAACAACGATTTACAATGTGTATGGCGTATACACGACATCTCCTTATTTAGCCATAAATTATTGAATTAAATTAGCTGATTTACTTTAACCTCCGATAAGTTACTACAAGCAATGCATAATTGCAATCAAATACAGATATATATCTACCAAATTTAGTAATATTTATTTTTTATAGTTTTGATATTATTTTTACATAATATAGTTTTTTATTTTAAACCATTGTACAACTATGAAGAATTCCAATTATAACAATAACGCTATCTATACCATATGTTCCAAGCAAAATCCCTTCTATGGAAAAACATCCAAATACGGACTATTGGACAGTATATAAAATAAATAAAGGAGCTATATATTATTATAAATGGATAATGTAAATGCAATCTAATTTAGAAGGTTGCAATCTATTTTAATAGCTGCTAATAGATTGCGTTGGCACGAATGGAGGCTTCTCTATTGTTATTTTAATTAAGACGACCGAGAGGAGACCAATCATTTGTTTAATATAAATTGTATAGAGACGGACAAGTCTAGTTGAACATACAGACCTGAACAACCCACTGAAGAGACAGGTTATGCAACACTAGTGATGTGATCGCATCTTATTGTAGTATCTTATGAAATATTTATTATTCTTCTTAGTTCTTATTCTAATAAGAATAATCTTCTTTTATAAGCATATATTTTTGATAGATGCTGAGTGAATTTTTGTCATAATTATTTATTCTGTCATACCTTCCACTGTTCATAATTATACTATACAACTATTTAATAAGTAATTCTACTATACAACTTCCACAAACAATATCTAAGAAAAGAAAATAATTTGTTCTAATTCATAATAACTAATTTTATTGTTTTGAAAATCGAATTACCTATTGCATTGAATTTGTAAGTAATGAAAATGAAATGTAAAAAGACAGAGTCAGAAACAACCCTAAGGATCTACGTAAACAGTAGGATTATGAAAGGCTCTGATGGCCGATTGTCCTTGTTTAAATGGAGAACGAGGTCGGGCGTTACCAGTATAAACGTAATTGCACTAATAGTCTCTCATGCTAAGAGATTTTAGGTGGAGTCTTATACGGGCTTTATAGGAGTAACCACGTAAGTATGCACAGGTGCGGTGCCCTTTTAATTCGTATAGTTCAAATGTCTTATAGAGTTTCGCATATGTGAAACCCTTGCTTTACTAAAAATAATATCTGATTCTTATTCATTGTATTTCTCAGACAATATTCTATTTTATATTGAATGAATAAATAAGAAATCGGTGCTACCAGAATCAAGAAACGGTAAAGTTTGTTTCACAAACAACTTTCTTTATTGGACGATGGAAATAGGTATATGAAAATAACTATGCAAAACTTCAGCGAGACTGCGAAATAATTGCGATGTATATAAATTCATATTATATAGTAACATTACATCTACACAAGAGATTTGCGTAGCATGTCACATGAGATCCCCCCAAACAAAATGACAAAACTGCGCTGAAGGAGACCCAGGGACACGAAAGGAATTTTAATTTTTTGTTCCTTTTGCACAAAGGAATTTATTATTAAGTCCCCGCATCGCAAGCATACGATATTATGGGTAGGGCAACCTCAATTTTCTCTCACCTTCATTCGAGAGAAGAATTTTGATAAATATATACGAAAGAACTGTGTGGATTTAATTTCAATACGTGTTATTTGTGTCATATCATTAAAACTCTTATGTTAAACTCTTCTCTGTACAGAAGTAGGTACTTGTATATTTAAGCTAAAGCATAAAATAAATGTAATGAAAATGTATGTTGTATGTCAGTGGGGTAGGTCAAATTAGAGATCAAGCACATAATAAAGGACCTATTTGAATCAAAAAGTGAACAAGAGTACAAACGGTTCTGGTATCATGCTTGTTTGTAAGGCTATAAACAGGGATTCCGATATCGAAGATAATTAGGACCCTCAAAAGTTTTAAGGGTCCATAAAAGGAATTCAAATCTCGCTTAAATATTATTATTAAGCTTCATCAACCTAAGTCGGATAAGCGTTAGAAGTTTAAATTAACTTGTTAGGTTGGGTCCGTGCGTCCTCGCGACCAATACAGTTTACAAACAACAAGACTAGACGCGTTCCTCTTCCTACCCTTGCATACAAATTGGCAACCCTAAAATTACAATATGTGAGTGGAATTCCGGTTTACAAGTAACTTTCATATACCTGTCTTGATATAAAATAGATATCGCTGGTGTTACTGAATATTTCGTATAAAGAGAAATGTAAGGGTTTTCCTTTATCAACACATGAATTTTGAACAAATTTTTAACTTGATTCTAATTATGATTTTGGCAGAACTGATATTTTATATGAAGTATCGTAGAATTATAGTCCTGCCTATATATACACATATGTCAAAGGCTCACAAGTCCATGATGACGAATTTAGCGAGAGTTTAGGAGCGAGGATCACCATCAAGATATTTCAAAGACACAAAGTTACATTGTTGGATAAATAAAAATAAATAAAGACTATATTCACCACTATCAACAAGTCCCTACCATCACCAGAGGTGATTAGGTACTATCTATATCTGTCTGTATGTGAACTAAGCAAACTTCTATAAGAGACCAAACGAAAAGACTTTCAGTAATATTTGCAATAATGTACCACATATATACAATATACGAGTATGAATGTTATTTATATGGCCGCAACTTCACGCCATAACCTTTATTGTATAGACTGACATTAAATGAAATAAAACTCATTTTTTTATTAATGATAATGGAATGACGTACCTGCCTGTGCTAACTGTATACGTTGGTTAGTGGAAGATAATAGGATGAGCATGAAGTCAGGTTAGTTTGCCCATCGTGATAAATTCACCAGGAATATATCGTGATAGTTTCCAGTACATATGATAAACCTGACATAGTACATTGCTAGCAATGTGGTATTCAGTCCATATTACTAACAAACCCCTTTTTCCCTTAATAAAACTCATTTGAATATTATTAACTCTAGTGTGCCTAAAATGAAAACATGTATATTTAGGAAATTACGTAGAAAAGGGTCGATATATGAAGCACTGGGGTATGTATTGTATAAAATGGAAGCAAGGACGGTATATCCGTCATAATCAGCTTATAGTGCTGTTTGCGCGTTGCGGTGCCGGCGGTGGTGTCGTGTTATGGTGCCGGGTACGATAGTGTGAGTGCTCCAGGTGACATTAAGCTTCTTTGGATGCGGTAGAAGTATATTTGCCTATAGTACTGAATATATGTACAGAGACCCTTATAATAACGTGTGTTTTCATTTAATATATTTTATCCATTGTTTTTTATTTTAATTTTATTTTATCCAATATTTTTTGTGAATTGATTAGCAGACAATTTGAATCTATACTTGCTCACTGTTGCCATTCAAAGCCTAAATACACAAAGAGAAAAAAAAATTGATTCATTTGGTAGGAACGTGCTAAATAGCCGTCATATGGCCCTTGGTGTTTTTGAGGTGTGAAAGTGAGTTGATTTGATTGTACTTAATTTTTCATAAGATCAATTCTAGAAAGGAGTGAGAAAATTTTTGGAGTGATTGTTCTTATGTCCTCACTCCTCAGTTTTTTTTATTTTTTATGGGATATTTCATTATGTTATCATATAAAAAAATATTGCTGCGAAATGGAGACACGATTTCAAAATCTGTTGCTGGTAGACAAACATTACGTTTTAGAATATTGCGGAGTATAGTAAAATGTGGAATTTAGTAAACCTTTGTTTCAAAGATGTCAATGACAGTTGTGTAACGTTACAAGTGCAAAGGACTGATCGTAATCAGTTAATTAGGTCGGGTGTTTATAATAGTATCCCGTTAGTTACGTTATCTGATGTTCGTAGTAGAGGGTTTTGTAGACCAATTATCTGAGTCACAATTCTGTGCCACTCCACTGATACTAATCCCAACGAATATTATAAATGCGAAAGTAACTCTGTCTACTTTTCTGTCTGTTACGCTTTCACGCCTAAATTACCGAACCAATTTAATAAAATTTGGTAGAGAGATAATGAGAAAGGACAAAAACTATAATTTCAAAAGTATGTAATTGAGGCAATTTTTAATGATAAATGTAGATTAAGTAATTCTGGCAAGATATGTATAAAAGTAATGTACTAGATACAAATAATGCTCGTACACGTAATGCCTACACTCCCAAAAATACACTTAAATGGGATGATAATACGTGTGGAGGTAATTAATAAGGATAAATAAATTAATTTGGTATATACCGTATAGAATTTTTGTAACTCCCACTAATTATTACAGTATATATATGC